TTTTCCCCTTCTCGTCAGAGTCCTGCGCCAGCTGCTGCATGAGGTCCCACACCCTGCATCACTGCCACTTGGGAGAGAGAGGGGATCTGCTTACCTCCTCCTCCTGCCTCCCAGGGGGGTCCAGCACCCCGACCTTCAGACCTATGGTTGCGTGAGTCTCTCAGTCGTCTATTGTGTTGTGTGAAATGTTTATGAGTGTCCTTTTCGTTGTGTCTTGGGAGGAGAGACTAAGGGAAGAGCTCAGTCTGCCATGATGCTGACGTCACTCTCGAGATGTCCTCACTTTTGACGCTGTGGGTGGTGTCGCCCATGGCTCTGCTCTTGCCACATGCTGATCTCGTGGGAATTTGTTTTCTGGCTTCCCGGGAATTAGTTCCTGAAAGAGGAGCCTGTCCCCATCATGCCTTGCCAGGAACAGCCCAGTGACATTCGTGCTTGTTTGTGCCTGCGCTTTACTGGCCTGCTGGTGGAAGGCTTGGTTCCTGAAGCATCTCTCCCTGTCTCGGGCCGCATCTGAGCATCCTCTCGTCTGTTTCCCCACAGTAGAAAGTGTGGCCCACTCAGGGTGTGTGTCTTATGGTCCATTCCCATCCAGATTCAACAGTTGTAGCCTGTCGCCAAGTGGCTCTCGGCATGGGAAGGGAGTGGAGCCAGCTCACCATTGCCCTGGGAGTGAATGTGAGCACAGCTGCCTCGGCAGAGCAACTCTAGGCCTGATGGTGGGTTGGCCCATGGCCTTCACGGATCCCATAGGCTATCCCACGGATCCCACCCCCATGTTGCCACCCCACTGCCCCTCCCTCTTGGAGGCAGCCATCCCTCCAGATGTGGCAGCCCTCCCCACGTCACATCCTGCTGCCACTGCCCCCTGGGCACCACCCTCGCCTGGCCCCCCAGGTGCCATCAGGCCTCCCTGCCTGTCCTCTGGGTGCTGTGCTAGCCCTGGTGCATGTGTGGTCTGCCTTCCAGGCTGCATGCTGGCCACACCCACAGGTGGCTTCTCAGGTGTCACTCCCTCCTGGGATCGCCTCCGGTGTGGTTTGTCTTAGCCCTGCCCAGGGGTGTGAGCCTCTGGGTGGTCCTAGCCCCTGCCCACCACACCTGTTGTTGCCTGGCACTTGAAGCCTCTGCATTTTGCTTGCCGTTACCCATTGTGAGTACCTTCAGTTGCCTGTTGGTCTTGCTCTTGTTTTTAGTTCTACTACGAGTATCTCTGGTGCTCCAGCAAAGGACATGGCGGATGGAAATGATGTAGTGGGCCGTGAGAAGCTAACTTTGGGGTTCCCTGTGCTGGCTGTGGTTTTGCCCCTGGGTCCTGACAACCTTTCCATGCCCTGTAGAGGCAGCTGTGTTCCAACGGGATTCCATTTGTTGTGATCTCCCTGATTGTAAAGGGATATGGGCTCTTTGAAAAAAACCATAGCTCACAAAACCTACAAGGTAAAACGTGAGCTCCCATAACCCCTGTGGTAGATGGATGCCCCTGCTATACACACCTGTGTGGTGTGCTTCCCCAAGTGCAGGTGGGCCTGCGAGGCTAAACCTGAAGAGATTTTGCTGATGTGATGAAGGTCCCTAATCAGCTGATTTTGAGTTAGTCAAACAGATGTCCTGGGTGGGCCTGACCTAATCAGGAGAGCCCCCAGAAGGGACAGGCCCCTCCTGAAGAGGTGAACTGCTGTGCCTGGAGGGGCCCTGTGGCCAGGACCTGAGGGTGGCTCCAGGAGTTGAGAGTGACTCTGGCCAACAGCCAGCGAGACAAGGGGCCCTCAGTCACACAGCTTCAAGGAAGTGAACTCTGCAACAACCTCAGGAGCATGAGGAGGACACCGAGCCTCAGCTGAGACCCTGCTGGCTGGCACCTTGATTGCCACCTCAGGAGACCGTGAGCAGAGCACCCAGCACACTGGGCCACACCTAACTCTGGGCTGAGATGATGAGTGGTGTCACTTTCAGCTGCTACATTGGTGGTAATTTGGTAGGCCGCATGGAACACGATTACCCCGCTCCAGGTGCTGCCGTCACCACTCTTACCTAACAACGTCTTTATCAAAATATCTCTTCAAACTCACAAGCTGTTGCCCTTTACTGGCTCCAACCTGGAGGGACTGCTGGGTGAGCTGAGACCCCCTTGTGGCAGCTTCCATGGGGTCATCACTACTGGGGACATGACTGGGCCACAGGCCGGTGCCTGCTACCTGCACCAAACTCCCTACAGACAGCGTACAGACCACCCCTCAGACGTGCGCAGACCACTGCTCAGACGTGCGCAGACCACCCCTCAGACCTGCACAGACCACCCCTCAGACGTGAGCAGACCACCCCTCAGACCTGCGCAGACCACCCCTCAGACGTGCGTAGACCACCACTCAGACGTGCGCAGACCACCCCTCAGACCTGCGCAGACCACCCCTCAGACGTGCGCAGACCACCCTTCAGATGTGCGCAGACCACCACTCAGACGTGCGCACACCACCCCTCAGATGTGTACAGACCCACCCCTCAGATGTGCGCAGACCACCCCTCAGACGTGCGCAGACCACCCCTCAGATGTGTACAGACCACCCCTCAGATGTGCGCAGACCACCCCTCAGACGTGCGCAGACCACCCCTCAGATGTGCACAGACCACCCCTCAGATGTGATAGACCCCCCCCCCCGTCAGAAGGGGTAGAGACCACCCCTCAGACGTGCGCAGAACACCCCTCAGACATGCGCAGAGCCACCCCTCAGACGGGCGCAGACCAGCCCTTAGCTGTGCATAGACCCACCTCCCAGACATGCACAAACTCCCCCTCCACAGCAGGATGGGGAGCCCCGTTGGTGGTGAATAATTAGTGGTTTCGTTTACTAGAAGGAAACAGAGCCATGGGTGACTTGCCGTCCTCAGAGCCCCTGGCTGGGGGCACGCCCCTGCCCCTGGCTGCAGTGGGCTGACGGACTTGCATTGGCATTGCAGTCCCCAGAAGTGGTGGGTGAGGGCTGCTCCCTCCCACTCAAACACTGATGTGGGCACTCAGCGTGCCCACCCGCCTCTGACAAATGCAGCATGTATTTGATGAAATCCCCACAAACCATTAGCAGTGCAGCTAAACAGCGACTCCTGTGACAATAATAACCCAGCGGTTAATGTTCCTAGTTATTAACAAGCACAGGTAACTGCTGCTTGCTTTAAAAATAGGCGGGTGGAAATCTTAGAACAGAAGGTTTTCCTCAGTCAGCTTTTTCTTTTTGTCTTTACTAATTTTTCCTTCTCTGGAGCCTTGTGTAAGAATCAGAACCAGAAGCCAACAGCACCGACCTTGTTCTGGGCGCTGCCTCCCTGTCCCCACTCACTGCTGTGAGCACAGGAGGGGTGTTGTGTATCTGAAGGAGAATGCTTGCTGCTGACTACAGGCAGGGGTTGGTGGGGGCCCGACCTCTGCTGCATGCCTACCACAGCTGCCTGGTCCCCCCACTCGGGGGCGTGGCGCTCTGCCTCCTCCTGACCACTGTCCAGGCTGCTGTGGATGGGACACTTCCACCAGGACAGGCCTATGCAGGCAGCTCATGGGAGCGGCGCCAGCCAGGATGAACCGGGTGGGGTCCCAGAAGGGACAGAGCAGATGTGGCAGAGGTCAGGGGTCAGGTGGTCAGGTGGTCAGGGCCCAGGTGGCTTCTCCCTCAGGCCATCTACCTTGACTTGGGCTGGGGTCTGGGTTGGAGCTTGGCAGTCGGAACTGCAGAGGGTTGTTGTGTGAGTGGCCAGGGCTCATGTCAGGGACAGTGACCTCCTGTGCCACCCAGGTGCACATCCCCAAGGCCTGGCCGCAGCCCTGGAGCTGGCTGTTTGGAGGGGATAGAAAGTGACCGCAAGCCAGACAGGCAACCCAAAGGTGGTGGGGCTTCCTGGGCAGACCCGGAAGCTTCCATGGCCACACACAGTCTCCTGGGCTGCATGGGGAGGTGTGGAGTAGGGGGCTCACGCTCCACATTCATGGTGTGAAAATGCTCCCACTGCCCTGGTTTCACTTTCACTTTTACGAACGTCCTTGTTAATTCACATTGTACCATTAGCAAATGTTCATAAAATCAATGAGTCAATACAGAAATTATTTTTGAAGACCTTTTAGGATCTGATCACTGATGAGAATAACTTGGTTTCTGGCCCAGTGTGACCACAGGCCGCCAAACCTCCGCTCCTGGCCCTGCGTGCTCAGCACCTGCCTCTGGTACTCAGGACCTCTGTCAGCAATCACTTCTCAGACCCAGAGGTCTAGCAGACATTGTGAGGTGGACCCCTTCCACTCGGTCACCATCTATATTCTTATTTAAATAGCAAAGCAGACTGGAAACTTCATTTTCTTACCTCAAAATCAGGGCTCTTAAAACTTTGACAATGTCTTTTCTAATTGCAAAAGAAACACTTGGTTGATTCATAATGCAAAAGCCTGGTGAAACAGAAGTCCTTGACCACTCCCTCCCAAAAACCCCCCAAATGGAGGACAGAGTGGCCCTCGGAGACCCTGTGTGCTGCTGCTGCCCACACGCGTCCCCAGGCCCCTCTGGCGGGCGTGCTCACATTTCCAGGAAGCTCACAGGCTCGCTGGGGGTGTCCTGGGGGAAAGGACAGGTGGACAGAGGAGGGACACGAACTGCCACCAGGGCACCGAGGACTTGCTTGTTGCCAGTGCTCAGTGCCCTTACCTGCCTAGCCCGGTCCTGCTGCCCGCTGAGCCCTGTTCCTGGTGGGCGGACGCCTTCCTCCCGGCCCCGAGTGGCCTGGACACGTGCCTTCCCCTGGCCTCTGCCTGCTCCTCAGCAGGGCCCAGGGTGAGTCCTGGCTGTGAGCTCCTGGGAAGCACCCTCCTGGAGCCTCCATTGACCTTTGTCCGTGCGGGTTCCTGTCCTTTTGGAGCCCTGCCTGTGTTGCTACAGAGACAAATTTTCTTTGTTAACAAGAGAAAGAACTGTAATTTTCCTGTTGCGACCCGAGAACTTCAGCCCTGCTTTCTCCTGCAGGCTCATCCTGGCAGCCAACAGGGACGAGTTCTACCACAGACCTTCCAAGTTAGCAGGCTTCTGGGGGAACAACAGCGAGATCCTCAGTGGTGAGTCTCCCTTCACGTGGGCGGCTGCAGTGTGGCAGGGCGGGTGAGCCCCAGGACCCCACAGGCGTGACTGGTGCTCCTTCTCAGGGGAAATAAGTAGACACTGATGGGTCTCATGAGGCTGGCTCCAGAGTCAGCGTCCAGGACCTGGGTTGGGGAGACCAGGCCTGGAACTGCCCACCCAGCACTGTCCCCATGGTGTTGTGTGCCATGGATCCCTGGAACAAGTAGCTGGAAGGGTAGGTTGGTCTTGTTGGGACCCACCCTTTAGCTGTGGGTGTGCGGTTGGCTCTGTATGAAGTGCACGTCCACACACAGTCACTCTGAAGCTTCACAGTTGTTGGTGTGCGTGTGTGTGCACTTCTATCTGCATGCCTCTATTTATGCACAAGCACCCCTCGCTGCAGGGAGAGGTGGCTTGAATTTGGGGAGCAGAGGCTTGGTTGGGGTACGTTTGGCCCACCGAATGCTGCACAAAGAGTTACCACAGGGGCAGAAGTGGAGGTGACAGCTGGATTCTCTGCCTTCCCAGTGGCAGCCATCTCGAGCCCCTTGGACAGGGAGCAGTTCTTGCCCGTGGGGTAGGCAGGTGTCTACTTGGAAGGTGTGTGGTCAGATGTTGGCTGGGCGAGGGGTCCCTCTGCCTGCAAGCCAGGCACTAGGCAAGCAGCAGGGAGCATGGCAGAGCTGACAGGGGCACTCCAGGTGCCCGGTGGGCGGGGCGTGTGCCCTCATGGGGCCAGGGAGGCTGCATGTGCCCCACTCTGCTTGTGGTATCTAAAAGCTCAACTGTAGAGCTTCCTCAAAAGGCCTCCTTTAGACTGTGGTCGGGCAGTGCTTTGAGGAAAACATTGCCAAGGCTGGATGGTCCTGGTGCCGTGTGGGAGGAGGCCAGGAGTGAGGAGGCTGGGGCAAGGCACCATCCTGGGTGGGAGGTCTGGTGGGTGGTGGGGAAAGCTGCTGTGAGGCTGTGAGCAGGGACCGGAGCATGGCTGGGTACAAGAAGGAGAAGAGGTTGGGTCTCTGGACTGTGTCTTGACCTTGTCACAAGCTGCACCTGGTGGCCTGGATATGTCTAGACATGCAGACTGGAGCGTGGGGCAGGGCTGGTGAGGGGGCCCCTGCTCTGTAAGCTCTGGGCACAGCAGTATGGGAACCCAGGGTTCGTGTGAATGTGGACCTCTCCCAGAGCTCATGGGGTAGGCCTACAGGGCCATGGGAGGAGGGCAGAGGAGAGCTGTGGCTACCGCCAGAACCATCCCGGGCTAGGGTGAAACAGACCGGGGTCATGGGGACAGGGCAGGCTGTGCGTGCCACTGCTGCAGGGCACGAATGGGAGGCTGAAGTGGGGTGAGAGGGCTGGTGCCCTCAGGCACAGGGGCAGGAGGCCTCTCTTGAGGATTTTTGTGGATGACACAGAGGCTAGAACAAAAGCTTAGCCTGCTGGGCCCCTCGGCTGCCTGGGCTTCCTGGGCTCCCTCTGACCCTGGCACTTCCTGCCCCTGAATCAGTGCTGACCTTTGCTGAGTGCTCCAGCCACTCAGACTCATTCATCCTTTTTAGGGGCTTGGAGGCAGCCGCTGGCATGCTAAATCGGGGCTCCTGCCTAGTGGGAGGTGGCCCTGTCGCACCACAGTGCTAGGTGGACCCAGTGGCCACCACACCCAGCCTAGGGCTGGAAGACACCAAGGTCTACACCCTCCTACTGTCTAGCATTGCCAAATTGTGTGTAAAATTGTAAACCAGTGGTTCTCCAAGTGTCAGCCTTGAGCCAATAGCATCAGCATTGCTTAGGAACTTGTTAGAAATTTGGAAGAATTTACGTATTATTTCTTCAAATGTTTTTCTGTCTCCTGCTCACTCTTCTCAATCTCTTTCCCTCTCTCTGCCTCCAGTTACACCTATATTAGTGTTCTTGAGACTGTGCCACACTTCGATGATGCTCAGTTCATTTTTTAAAACCCTCTTTTCTGTTTCATCATAGATAGTTTCTATTGCCATATCCTCCAGTTCACTAATCTTTTCTTCTGCAGTGTCTAATCCATTTTTAGTCCCGTCCTGTATGTTTTCATTTCATGCTTTGTAGTTTTTGTCTCTAGAAATTCAATTTTTGTGTCTTCCTTATCTCTACCTAACTTTGTCAGCATATAGAATACAGTTGTAATAACTGTGTAAATGTCCTTGTCTGTGACTTCTGACATCTGTGTCCGTTCCAGATCAGTTTTAATGGATTGATTGAACCCCTTTTAGTGGGCAGGGACGTATTTTCCTGTTTCCTCATATGCCTGGTCATTTTTGATTGGGTGCCAGACATTTGTGGGTTTTATCTTGTTGGGGTGAATGTTTTTGTTAGACCTGTAAATATTCCTGAGCTTTGCTCTGGGACACAGCTAAGTTACTCAGAACCAGTTTTATCCTTTGAGGTCTTGCTCTTAAGATTTGTTAGGTGGGTGGGTCTAAGCTGGGCCCAGTCTAAGGCTGATTATTCCCCATACTCAGAAAAGATCCTTCTGTCTACTCTTCCCAGTGCTCCCTGAACCTTGAGGTTCCCCAGGCTGGCTTCTGGGTACAGGCGCTCTTCCCAGCCCTGTGTGAGCACTGTCTCCTCTGGTCCTTCTGGGTGGTTCTTTCCCGGCCTCGGGTAGTGTCCTCACACACCTGAGCTGACCAGGTGGCCAGGTTCTCTGTGCAGATCTCTCCTCTCTGGTCCTTGCCCCAGGAACTCTGGCGACCTCAGTCTCCCTGGACTCTCGGCCCCTCTCCTCAGCCAGGGGTCTGCTGGACTCTGCCCAGACCCCTCCCTGGGCCAACTCTCCAGGCGTGGGGCTCGCCTCGCTCCCTTCCTGTCTCTTGGAGATCACTGTCTTTTGTCTCCAATGTCCAGTGTCTTGAAACCCATTGTTTCCTGTATTTTGTTTATTTTTTGGTTGTTTTATGCAGGAGGGTAAATCTGGACCCTGTTGGTGGCCAGATGTAGAAGTTTCATTTGCATTTTAGTTGTTGATTTGTGGAAGTTCTTTCTGCATTCTGGAGATGAGTCCTTTGTTGGACAAATGTGGTTCTATTTGTGTCTTTGCCACCTTAAGGTCATAGAGATATTTTCCTGTTTGCTTCTATAAGCCTTCTGATTTGGGGTTTTTATGTGTAGATCTATGATTTCTCTGACATTAATTTTTGCACATGGTGTGTAGTGGGGTTGAGGTTCATGCCACCCCTGTCTCTCCAGTTGTCCCAGCAACATTTACTGAATAGATGTCCTTTGCCTATTGTGTTACTGTGGCAAATGGTTGAACATCAGTTGAACACGTCTGTTCTGGACTCTCGTGTCCCATGGATCAGTTTGTCTGTCTTGACGCCAGTGCCACATGGTCTTGATTACTGGAGCTTTTTAGCAAGTCTTGCGGTCAGGCAGTGTAAGTCCTGCAGCTTTGCTCCTGCTCAGGACTGCTGGGCATCCTGTTCCTTCATATGTGCAGATAAATTCTAGAGTCAGCTTGTTAATTTCCATACAGCGAAAAGTCCGCTGGGATTTTGATTGAGATTATGTTGACGTTTGGTCATTTGGGGAGAACTGTCGTCCTGACAATACTGAGTCTTCTGGCCGAGGAACAGGGCATCTCCCTTTAATTAGATCTGGGTGACTTTCCTCAGCAATGCCCTGTGGTTTTCACTCCTTAGGTGTTACACATTCTTCCTTAAATGTTTTCCTAAGTTGCTTTTTTTTTAAATCATTTAGTGCTGTTGTAATGGTATGTTTAAATTTTCATTTTCCAGTTCTTGCTAGTATTTAGTTATTAGTTGAAGTAGATTTTATTTTTATAGATTCCTTTTGGATTTTTTTCACATACAATCCTGTCATCTACACATGGAGACAATTTGACTTCTTCTTTTCTGATCTTGACATCTTTTATTTCTTTTACTGTTATAATTTATTATTGTTATAAAAATAATATTTTAATGACTTAGCAGTTTTTACCGCAATCTTGAAGTAAAATAACCCTCTAATCTAGAAAGATGTTCTGCTTTGTCTTTAAGGGCCCCTCTAACCCATGGGTGGGGCCCATGAAGCATTAACCGTGGCCAGGCCTGTGCCATGGGCATTGGGCACACTGGTAGGTCTGGATGTGCCCTGGGTTCCTAGTGAAGCACCCACCCCAAGGGACCCTGGGTCCTGCTGAGGAGGGCAGCCGGCGTCCGTGCCCCTGATCTAGGATGCAGGATTGTGGCTTGGCATGGTTCCTTGACAGGGCTGGCTATCCTCCCAGTCCAAGGCAGGCTCTTGGGCCAGGATGTGTTCGGCAGGTGCTCACTGCATGGTTTCGGGGGCTCCCACAGGCATCAGATGTCATCCTGTGGGGCAGGAGTCTCTCTCGTGTGCCCCTTGGGCCCCAGAGGCTACCTCGCCCTGTGGAGTCAAGCCCCTGTTCCACAGTCAGGCTGCTGGGCTGAGCTGCATCTCCCTGCCGAGTGTGCATCTCCCTAGAACGCAGAGACAGCGTGGGGCTGGTGCCCACCTGTGGGTGCTGCTGGTGGTGATGCCATCATTGTCGCAGGGCTCGACATGGAGGAAGGCAAGGAAGGAGGCACGTGGCTGGGCATCAGCACGCGGGGGAAGCTGGCAGCACTCACCAACTACTTGCAACCGCGCCTGGACCCGGATGCCCGCGGCCGAGGTACCGCAGGGTGGGGACGAGGTGAGGCGGGGCTTTCTCCAGCAGTACAGAGACCTGAGAGGAGCGAGAAGGGAAGGAGGGCACATCCCAGCCCTGCAGCCCACTGGCTGGTGTCGCTGGAACTGCCCTCGGCCTGGGCCGTACTGTACCCACTGCACAGGGTGCTTCACCCTTCTCGGGGAGCCTGTTCTGTGCTGTCCCCCAGCCAAGGCATCACTCCTCACAGTTGTCATTGTCCCTCACCCGTGGAATGTTTGTAGAGCAATGTCCCCAGGAGGACAGCCCCATGGACATATATTGTCCCCACTGAAGATTTTTTTCCCTCATGCAGAACTTCCATATGGGGGCGTAATGGAGAAAAAATTTTAAAAACCAGCAAAAACAGAGTTCTTGATGCAGACCACTTTGGCTGCTGGGTCGTGAGATGTGGCTGGTATGGAAGTGTTCAGCTGTGGGTGCCCCACACCAGTCTCCTCAGGGGGCGGGCTCAGTCCTGCCTCCTTGCTATGGATGTCTGTTCCCTGCCCCAGGTGAGCTTGTGGCCCACTTTCTGACCACCGACATGGACAGCCTGACCTACCTGAAGAAGGTCTCCGCAGAGGGCCACCTGTACAATGGCTTCAACCTCATAGCCGCCGATCTGAGGTGCGTCGTGGCGAGGTGGCAGCCCCCACAGGCCGGGCCTTGGGCGTGCAGGAGGCGGGGTTCCTGCCCTGCTGCTCCGCTGGAGGTGCTGTGGCATCTGTGGCAGCCTCTCAAGGGATATCGTTCCTTGGTGAGCATCCCGGATGCTGAGGGCCTCCCAGATCCACTGTTGTGGGGACTTGGGGAGCAGAGCCGGGGTAGGGGGGCTTCCTGGGCAGTGTGAGGGCCACTGGCTCCTGCCAGGCCAGCCCGAGTGTGACAGCAGAGGGCACTCCCAGGTGCAGGGTGCGGCCCTCACCCACGCTGGCCCCCACCCCTGGGTCTTCTGCCCACCTCTGTGGCTGAGGAGTCCCCTGTTTTTGAGCTACATCTTACTTGATCTGACCTCTGGTGGGCAGAGGTGCCCCAGGCTGGGGAGGAAAGGTCCGAGCCCACCTGACCATGGTACGGAGCTCTCCAGGACCACGGTGGCTGGTGCAGCTGAGCGCCAGGCCCGGTGGCGGAGTCTTCTGGGAGGAACATCTGAGCCGGCGGCCTGACTCATCTCCAGTTCTGCGAGGCGCTTGGTGGATAGCGCCTGGCCCCGTCTGGAGTTGTCAGGGGGCAATGAACCTGTCCAAGCTGGCTGTGGACCCTGTCACCAGAGACATGGAGGCCCAGCTGCACGGGCAGCTGGGAGAGCAATTCTGTCATCTAGAGTGGGGCAGACAGGCAAGGAACAGGGCCAGGAGAGGCAGAAGGTCCTGTCTTATGGCTGGAGGAGCAGGGCCCCCAGGGAGGCTCGGAGCTGGAGCAGGGACACCTGTGCTGGCTGTGAGATTCGGGAGTCAGGTTGTTGGGACCCTGCAAAGGGCCATGGCCTCATGGGAAGTGGCAGTAAGTTGGAGCCTTGCCAGGCCCATTTTGGGCCTACAGAGAGGTACAGCAGGGGTTGATTGCTGCAGCAGCAGCTGGCGGTTACCTGGATAGCCTGGGGGGTGCATGCTGAACCCTTCAGGTGCAGCACTGGGCACCCTGTGTGCCCCTGATGCGGCCAAGCTCAGATAGGCGGGCGACATGGCCAAGACCACTGCTGGTGCGAGCCGGGGCCGGGGTCCCTTGGCTCTGCCCTGGGTACCTAGCTGGGGTCCCGGGTGCCCCTCGAGATAGCAGCCACATCCCACCAGTTGGGCACCAGCCTGGGAAGGAGCGCTGAGCCCTTGGCCATGGTGCCGCTGGACACCAGCTGGCAGCATCTGCGACTCCACCTGAGGTGCAGGTTCTGTGTGCTGGACGGCTGCGTCGGGCCTTCTCCTGGCTTCTCCGAGTGCGTTTATCTCTGTGGCTCCTGGGCCTGGACCCCGGCCAGTAGCTCAGGCACCAGCTGCACAGCGACAGCCCTCCAGGGGGCTGCCTCTGGCCCAGGCCCTGTTACCTGGTGCCATTTGCTGAGTGCTAGCTGAGGAGGGGGTGCTGCCTGTGGCATCAGGGTAGTTCACCTCCCACTGTAGACACTGAGCCCCAAGGAGAAGTGATCATTGGTGCTTGGTGCAGGTTACAGGAGTCATGCTGGACCCTGGTCTCGTGGGGGGACCCCGGGGCCTGCACCAGGGCTGACGGGCAGATGCTGGTGGGCAGAGGCCAGGGGGTGGCTAGGGCTGCATGATGGGCACCAGGCTCCCGCCCAGTCCTCCCTGCAGGTGTGCAGACAGATGAGTGGACGCTGTGGACAGACTCAGTGTACATGACGGAAGGTGTCAGGTGCTAGAGTGGCAGTGCTGGAGTCTCGAGGGGTGGCCAGTGTGCAGAGGCCCTGGCTGGGTGTCCACCCCCCGACTACCTGAGGGCTCCTGCGTGTTTCTCGGTGCAAGCCTCACAGAGCAGCCTGTGAATTCAGGCATCAGTGGGGCAGCCGCGTCAGCCCCACCAGGGTGGGCTGGGTGTGCTGTGTTCCCTCCCATGGGAAGTGTGCTTTAGAGATGTGGCCACAGGACCTGCAGGGGTTCTCTGTATTTGCCTTTCGGGGAAGTGAGTATCCTTCCCTCTGCACTCCTCCGTCCTCTCCGTGTGCTCCTCCCCTCCCCCTCCAGTGCCCCAAAAGTCAGTGGATGCCATCAGCTCAGGGGCTTCTGTCAGGGCAGGTGCCGGAGCAGACGGTAAGTGCCCTGCAGTAGGCCCAAGTCCAGATGCCTGTCCTGAGCCTGCCTTCTTCCACAAGGGCAGGTCCACGGGCCCCTCTCTTGTCTGGGAGCCCTGGCCTGCTGTGCCTCGAGTGTCCACTGTGCAACCTGCTCCGCCCTGCGCCACCTTGTGGATGGGTGCATCATTCTCAAGGGAGGAGGGCCAAGGGTATGGCCGGCACTGGTACTTGCTGCCCAGAGCCCTCCCCTCACCACCGTGGCATGCTGGCACCGGCTGGCTCCTGGAGGGGAGTCCCCGTGTCCTCCCTGCTCCCCAAGTTCAGGGGCCACTTTACCTGTCACTAGTTTCGTGTATGTCTGCCCCGGCCCAAGAGATCAGCCCCTGGCTGTGATGCCAGCAGAACTCGGTGCTCAGCAGCCATGTCAAGTGACTGGGGGATGAGGGCCCCATGCTCTGAGTGGATGCATGCACGGACAGGGGGTGCATGGGTGGGTGCTTGGGCCCCTTGGAGCCTGAGCAACTCTCCCAGCTCCTGGGCTGCAGGGTAGGGGCCTGCCTCCCTGGACATGGCCTTTGAGGACAGGCGGTAGCCAGGGGAGCCCAGTGGGTTATGCTTGAGGACAGGTGTCCCAAGAGGAGCATCCCAAGCGTCCAGTGGCTGCTGGTGCCCAGGCCCAAGGTCAGAGAGTGGAGGGAGTCAGAGGTGAGCAAGCAGCCTGGGTGGTGGGTGCCAGGAGGAAGTCAAGGCTGAGAAGAAGAGAGCCTCATCCCCATCGTGGCTGGTCCCTGGGTCAGGCCCCCTTTCTGCCTAACCAGGTGTGGTGGGAGTGTGTGCCCAATCCCGCAGGTTCTCGTGCTTTCCAGCTCTTTGCCTACAAACAGGCCTCTGAAGTCATTAGCCAAACATTTTAAGAAAGGAGCCAAGGGCTGTGGGGAGGAAGATGTGAGCAGAATAGTAAGCTGCATGGGAGCGGGGGTCCTGCCTGCGGGGTGGCATTGAGCAGGAGGGCTGAGGTGGGCACTCTGGGACTCCACAGCACCCCCCACCTGGCCCTGTCTCTACGCTTGTTCATCCTGAAGGCTCAGGTCACCGTGTCCAGCATCCCACCAGGAAGGCAGGTCATAAGCCAGAAAGAGTCTCTCTGTAGTTTGCAGAAAAGGCATTCTGACTCTTAGCAGAAAGATTCACTATGGTATTTAGGAACTGGAACATTTTCAGCTCCAGAGCATTTCAAACTGCTTCTAAATGCACATTCAGTGTATGAAGGTAAGAACATGTGATCTTTGGTGTGTTATTCAGAAGCCTCTGTCACCTTGGGGTGTCCTGTCCTGCCTCGAGGCACTCAGAGATGAGCTGTAGGGATGGGGGTCATAGCTTTCTGGAGGGAACTGGTGTTGGTGGGTGTGGGGCTGAGCCAGCAGCTGTCGCCACAGGCGGCCTCTGAGTGCCTGTGTGTGAGGGCACCCATCGAGGCAGGAGGGTCTTTTAGATTCTGCTGCTCCCAGGCCAGTGGTCTCTGCAGTGAGTTGGGGGTGTGGAGCTAGGGGTCTTGATGACCCTGCCTGAGAGGACCCTGGGGGTCTGGGGCCCTGACTAGCCCATGCCCTGACTGCAGCGAGCCCCTGTGCCTCCTCTGGCTGCCGGCAGGGGTGCTGGGGAAGGGGCCGTGGAGACTGCCGGGCATCAGGGTCTGGTGCCCTGGCTCCCAGCTGACCCCTCCCCGCCCCTGTCCGCAGCACAGAGAAGGGAGACGTCGTTTGCTACTATGGAAACCGCGGGGACCCTGAGCCTGTTGTCCTGGCCCCAGGTGAGTCTGCTCAGGGGGTGGTGACAGGGCTGCTCCTCTGGGGACACCTCTGTGCTTTTCAGAGACTAGGCCCCTGTTGCATTTCTCTCCTGGGCCTGCGCTTGTCGGTTGTCTGTGTACCTTGTGATCTGACCCTCGTACCCAGTCTGTGTGTCAGGCTGCCCACGGCCTGGGACAGCATCCCCCAGCACTGAGCCGCAACTGTCGGGGTGAACTGGAAACTAAAAGGCACAAGAGACCCCCTCCCCCCAAATCTGTGCTTTGGCTCAGAGGCCTTTTTTTTTTTTTTATTGAGTTATTGATAGGTTACAATCTTGTGAAATTTCAATTGTACATTAATGTTTGTCAGTCATGTTGTAGGTGCACCACTTCACCCTTTGTGCCCACCCCCCACCCCACCTTTCCCCTGGTATCCACTAAACTGTTCTTAGTCCATAATTTTAAATTCCTCATATGAGTGGAGTCATACACAGATTATCTTTCTCTCGCTGGCTTATTTCACTTAACATAATTCTCTCAAGGTGCATCCATGTTATTGCAAATGGAATGATTTTGTTCCTGTTTTGCAGCTGAGTAGTATTCCATTGTATATATGTACCACATCTTCTTTATCCATTCGTCTGTTGCTGGACACTTAGGTTGCTTCCACGTCTTGACTATTGTAAACAGTGCTGCAATAAACATTGGGGTGCACAGGACTTTTGGGATTGCTGACTTCAAGCTCTTTGGACAGATACCCAGTAGTGGGATGGCTGGATCGTAGGGTAGTTCTATTTTTAATTTTTTGAGGAATCTCCATACTGTTTTCCATAGTGGCTGCACCAGTTTGCATTCCCACCAGCAGTGTATGAGTGTTCCTTTTTCTCCGCAACCTCTCCAACATTTGTTGCTATTAGTTTTAGATATTTTTGTCATTCTAACGGGTGTAAGGTGATATCTTAGTGTAGTTTTGATTTGCATTTCCCTGATGATCAGCGATGATGAGCATCTCTTCATGTGCCTATTGGCCATCCGTATATCTTCTTTGGAGAAATGTCTGTTCATGTCTCCAGCCCATTTTTTGATTGGGTTGTTTGATGTTTTGTTGTTGAGTTGCGAGAGTTCTTTATATATTATGGATATTAAGCCTATGTCAGATATATGACTTGCAAATATTTTTTCCCAGTTAGTGGGTTGTTTTTTTGTTTCAATCCTGTTTTCATTTGCCTTGAAGAAGCTCTTTAATCTGATGAAGTCCCATTTGTTTATTCTTTCTATTGTTTCCCTTCTCTGAGAAGTCATGGTGTCCGAAAAGATCCTTTTAATACTGATGTCAAAGAGTGTACTGCCTACGTTTTCTTCCAGAAGCCTTATGGTTTCAGGTCTCACCTTTAGGTCTTTAATCCATTTTGAGTTTATTTTGGTAAATGGTGAAAAAGAATGGTCAATTTTCATTCTTTTACATGTGGCTTTCCAGTTTTCCCAGCACCATTTGTTGAAAAGACTTTCTTTTCTCCATTGTATGCCCTCAGCTCCTTTGTCAAAGATAAGCTGTCCATAGATGTGTGGTTTTATGGCTCAGAGGCCTTTATGGAAATACCTGGAAACCACCCTCAATGCCCTCAATTCTCAGGGCTTGAGACTCTGTGACTGGAGATGGTTGTTTTCTACTGAATTGTTGCTTGGAAGAAATTCTTTCCAACTACATCCTGTTGTTTCGTTCCTGAGCCTACCTCCACCTGATCCGTGTCACTTTTCTTTAATAACAGCTTTATTGAGATATAACTCACATATCACAGAGTTCACTTATTTAAAGTGTATCCTTCAGCAGATTTTAGTATGTTCACAAAGTTGTGTGACTGTCAGTGCTGTCTAATTCCAGAACATTTTCATCACCTTAAAAAGAAACCATATCCAGGGGCTGGCCCAGTGGTGCAGCGGTTAAGTTTGCACGTTCTGCTTCTCGGCGGCCCGGGGTTTGCCAGTTTGGATCCCGGGTGTGGACATGGCACCGCTTGGCACGCCATGCTGTGGTAGGCATCCCACATATAAAGTAGAGGAAGATGGGCATGGCTGTTAGCTCAGGGCCAGTCTTCCTCAGCAAAAGAGGAGGATTGGCAGCAGATGTTAGCTCAGGCCTAATCTTCCTCAAAAAACAAAAACAGAAACAAAGACATATCCTTTAGCAGTTACTCTCATTCCCCCTGCCCCCAGCCCCTGGCAACTACTCATCTACTTTCTGTGTCTGTAGCTTGGCTTATTCTGGACGTTCACATCAATGGAGTCAGACGATATGTCGCCTTTGTCTCTGGCTTCTTTTACTCAGTGTGTTTTCAAGGTTCATTCATGTTGTGGTGTGAATTAGGGCTTCGTTCCTTTTTATGGCTGAATAATATTCCATTGTACGGATGGTCAGTGTTTTGCTTCTCCATTCATCTGTTGCTGGACATTGGGTTGTTTCCACTTTTGGGCTATTGTGGATAATGCTGCTGTGAACGTTGGTGCACAAGTTTTGGTGTGGGCGCATGTTTTCATCCGTCTTGTGTATATACCTAGGAGTGGAGTAGCTGGACTGTAAGGAAACTGTTTAACTTTTTGAGGAACTGCCAAACTGTTTTCCAAGCAGCTGCCCCATTTTGCATTCCCACCAGCAGCGTGTGAGGCTCCAGTCCCTCCACATCCTCGCCAACACTTGTTATTGTCTGTTTTCATTACACTCATCCTAGTGGGTGTGGCGTGATAGCTCCTGGTGGTTTTGGTTTGCATTTCCCTGATGGCTAATGACGTTGAGCATCTTTCCATGTCCTTATTGACCATTTGTATATCTTCTTTGGAGAAATGTCTATTTAGATCCTTTGCCCCTTGTTAAATTGTTTTTTTTTTTTGTATTTTTATTATTGAGTTGTAGTTCTTCATATGTTCCAGCTACTAGCCCCTTATCAGCTGTGTGATTTGCAGAATTGTCCCCTCGTGTGGGTTTTGTTTTCACTGTCTTGTTGGTGTCTCTTGAAGCACATCATTTTAAATTTTGATTAAGTCTAGGTTATTTTTATCTTTTGTTGCTTATGCTTTTGGTGTCGTATGTAAGAAATCATTGTCTAATCTGAGGTCATGTAGCTTTTCTTGTGTGTTTTCTCCAAAGAGTTTCATAGTTTAGCTCCTACATTTAGGTCTTTGGGGCATGTTGCATTAATTCTTATGTGCGGTTGAGGCAGGGGTCCCACTCCATTCTTTGGCATGTGGCTCCCCAGGTGTTCAGCACCACTGACGTGTGGTCTTTCCTGTTGCTCCTGATGGATAAAGCACAGTGCTCCCTTGTGCTGGCAGTGTGGTTTCCTGGGAAGCGGGTGCAGTCATGTCAGACCTGGTCGAGACCCTCACCCAGAAGTCTGGCCGCAGCAGAGGGGCGGCTGCCTGTCCTCAGTGCATCTTCCAGGGCGCGTGACTCTGAGTTCACTTGCCCCTATGGCCTGCGGAGCCTCTCAACAAGAGGCTCTGGGGGGGCTCTCCAGCCCAAGTCTCAAGCCTCTCCTTTTGCTGACATGAGAAACCCTTTCCTTTTTTTTTTAAAGATTTAATTTTTTCCTTTTTCTCCCCAAAGCCCCCCAGTACATAGTTGTATATTCTTCGTGTGGGTCCTTCTAGTTGTGGCATGTGGGACGCTGCCTCAGCGTGGTTTGGATGAGCAGTGCCATGTTTGGATGAGCAGTGCCATGTCTACGCCCAGGATTCAAACCAGCGAAACACTGGGCCACCTGCAGTGGAGCGCGCGAACTTAACCACTCAGTCATGGGGCCAGCCCCCACCCTTTCCTTTTTTTGTCACTCCTTCTGTTAACCTACGAGAACTCGTTCTGAGGAACTTGCCTGAGACCCTGTAGCACCCCCAGCCCTGGCCCCTGCCAGCAGGTAGAGGTGGGCCCTGCCTGCGCCCACTGAGTGGGTGGATTTGGGTCTGCTCCCTAACCGCTGACTGGTGTTCTCCAGGCATCCCCCTGGCCTCGGGTTGCTGATTCTCCCACCCCTGACCTTCTCGGGGGGACCCCCAACTCGCAGCTGTCCCAGCTGAGAGCGGGAGTGAGCTGGGGAGGCAGTGCCCTCTCGAGCACCCGCTTTGCTTTGCCCTGTTGGATTTCAGGTTGTTTATTCCTTGTTATCCCATCCATCAAGGCCACTTGGCATCTGTGCCTCGTGGTCTCCTGCAGGAGCCTTGCCATGTTGAGTTCTCCACCCCGGCCATGCAGACGGGTCAGGAATGTGCATGGAGAAGGTGCTGGAGCATGGGGCAGCCTGGCCTCAGTGCCCTTGGCCGTAGCCCTGGTACCTCGCCCAGTGCTGGGTGGGTGGCTGAGAGTTGATCCTGAATTCAGACGGTGGGGCCTCTGCACTGGCCAGGCTGACCTTCTCCCCACAGGGACCTACGGGCTGAGCAATGCTCTGCTGGAGACGCCCTGGAGGAAGCTGTGCTTTGGGAAGCAGCTCTTCTTGGCGGTTGTGGAGCAGAGCCAGGCCCTCCCCAAGGATGACCTCATTGCCCAGCTCCTGGACGTGCTCAACAACGACGAGGCGTGAGTGGGCGGGTCCCCCTGGGGCCAGTGGAGTGGACGTGCACCCCACTGCTCCGGTCAGGGGTAGAGAGGCAGGCAGGCTCTGCTGTTCTGGGAGGTCTGTGCAGGCAACTGAGGCTGGCTCCTTGGCCACGGGGGAGCCTGACGGACAGCTTGTCCTCTGCCCCTCCTGCCTTTGCCCCTTGGGCAGCTGCCATTTCTGATGTGGAAGAGGGGGGCTTTGATGACGGAAAATGGAACAGTCCCAGGCCAGTGTGCTGGGAAGCTCGGTGCTCCCAGTGGCTTGATATAGGCTTGCATGGGGCTGTGAAGGGCTAGAGGCTCCCCTCTGCCTGAACACACAGGGCTGGTGGGAGGTTCCAGAAGGCTTCAGGTGCTTAGCAAACCACAGAAGGGAGCAGCCAGCTTAGGAGTCTGCCTGGGGGTCAACTGTCATTCCCACATGCTGTCCCACCATGGCCAGGATGGGGAAATCCAGGGAATTGCCTGGGGAAAAGAAGCCCCCAACCTGGTTTCCTCAACTGTAGGCCTTGAGGTACCTCAGGTGGCCTCTGCAGGGGACACCTGCCACCTCCTGACATGTCTTGGCCATCCCAGCTGGAGGTCAAGGTGCTCGCTAGGCTGGCCTTCCTCCTATGCAATGACCCAGCTCATAGGTCCCTCTCCTTCCCCAGCCAGGCCAGGCCAGGCCAGGCCAGTGTCCTGCCTGGATGGCCCCTTGGAGGAGCCCCCCACAGCCTGCCTTGCACTGTCCTCCCCCAGGGCCTCTCCCTGCCTCTTGTTCACCCTCTCTCTCCACTCTGAACCATGGCACCTTCAGCCTCAGCACAGCCGCCCGCTTGGGGAAGCCCTGCCCAGTGGCCTCCTCTCAGCTGTAGGTCCACACGGCCCACGGCCACTGTTTGTTGTCCCCATAGGTCTGTAAGGGGGCGCTGGCTGCTCTTATTGATGGCTGTTGTCCCAGCCCTGGCTACGGTGGCAAGCAAGCCACGGGGCTCGAATAGACTCCTGGCAAGTGCACAGATGCCCACAGGGCACCTCTTATAAGGGGCAAGCAGGGAGCACATGTGGTCAGGTGACCGCACCCCTTAGCCAGGCCACCACCCACCATGCCCCTGCCCACTCAGGCCCTCTGAGATGGGAGGGCGAGCTCGCTCTGGGAAGTGGCTTCCATCCTTCCTTAGGGTGCCCTGCCCAGCTCTGGCCAGATGGACCCCAGGCATTTTCAGACCCAGCAGAGCCTTACCCAGCACTGAGCTCTCAGGTGCTCGTGTTCCTGGAGTCCTGGGTCCTGGGAAAGCTGCTGGTGGCCCTGGCAGGGGGAGCTGGCCCTGTGGTCGCTGGCTGGTGACCCAGGCCCAGCAATGGAGCCCTAAGTGAGAGTCTGGACAGAGATTTGAGGCCTTGAGCAGAAACGTGCATGCAATACCCTGTGGGCCCCACCTTCCAAGGCTGGCGGACTCCTCAGGCACTGTAGGGCTGTGAAGATGGCAGGTAGGGCTGTGGCGGGCAGCAGAGGTGCTGGTGCTGACCCCTCCCTCCTCTATCCTTCTAGGCAGTTGCCAGACCCAGCCATCGAGGACCAAGGCAGGGAGTACGTGCAGCCCATTCTGAGCAAGTACGCGGCTGTGTGTGTGCGCTGCCCGGACTATGGCACCAGGTACAGAGGCCGCTGGGCACCTCCAGTCCTGTCCCATGAGGAACCTGGCCTTCCCCTCACTCTGTGGGTAGCCAGGGCGAGGCCTTCCTTCCCTAGCTCTGTGGATCCTGAAGCCTCTGCCCTACCTAGAAGCAGCTGCCATGTCAGTTCAAGGGCCATAGGGTGAGCAGACGCCACGGTTGATGGTCATGTACAAAACACCTGCCAGCTCCCAGAGGTACTGCAGGCCGGGCACGAGGGCTCTGAGGCTTCCTTGCCTTCTGGGGGTGCCCCTGAGCTGCCCCCTTCCCCCTGCACAGCCATGAGGGGGCCGAGATGGCCTCCGGCTCACTCCTGTCAGCAAATCCCTGTGGGCCTGCAGGTCCCACTGCTTGGCTCTTCCCCTCACTCGCCCTGTGTTCCTGGGCCTGTCATGTTCTTCGTGTGACCAGGGCTGGGATTAGGTTAGCTCAGCCAGGTGATGTCACCTCACCCCAGGAAAAGGGTAAATGCTGATCTCGGCTGCAACGTGAGAACATCTGGGAGGGAGAAGCTGTTGGCACAGGTGTCTGCTGTTCCAGCAAGTTCCTTCCCTGCCTCCCTCCCTCCTGGGTGGAGAAGGAAAGGCTGTGTGTGGCTGGGAAGCCAAACCTGCCTAAATGGCTCCATCAGAGGGCCACGTGGAGGGAGCTGAGGGCAGCCCCCCTGCTGCACTCGCAGGCGGCTGGGATGCACAGAGAGGTTAGGCGGCTGGACCAGCTGGGATGCTCCAGGAGTGCCGCTGCCACGTGCCCAGTACACCTGGCCTGGAGGTGGAGTGTGGCCTCCTGTGTAGCCACATCTGCCTGGGTTCAGCTCGCACTGAGGCCTGTGGGTGCAGCCTTGTGCCGGGCTGGAGACCTGTGGTGACTGTGAGGGACCCTTGGACCCATGGCTGCCAGGGACTCATGGACGGGGTGCTTGGGTGGTGACAAGTGCTGAGTGATGCTGGAGTGATGTCACCTGTACCCCTGGTCATGGTGATGTCACCTTTATGCCTGGCTTTTGGGTCAGGTCAATGAGCTCGAGTGAGGCCCCTTCTGTCCCTGCAGATGGGAGAGGTTGGGTTATTGCTGCCTTCTTGACGGTGAGGTGCTGGTTCTCCCAGGAGGCTGTGAGGTGACCTTGCCATGGGGACATGGCTGATGCTCTACGGAGGCTGAGGGCATCTGGCAGGGGCTGGACGTGTGAAGTCCTGGGGACCAGCGAACTGAGAGGAGGGCAGGCCTGAGTTGTTCATCCTCAAGGAAATGACAGCTCAAAGCACTGTGGCTGGGGGACAGGGTGCAGGGTGGGGCCAGCTCGGTGTGGACTCCCAGCACTGCTGCTCCAGGGCCCGTGGGTTGTACACCTGAACGGTGGCCTTTTCCCTCAGGCCCCTTTTCCACTGGAGACTTGTTTTCATGACTAAATTGTGTGCTCATGTGTCCTCGTGTTCAGAGCACCAAGTCTACTCCCTGGCTGGGTACGTGGCTGCTGGGTCCGACCCCAGCCGGGAACCCCCGCTTTCAGCGTGCGTGGGCCCTCCATGGGCGGCAGCCTGTGCTGGGGCTGCTCGGCAACCTCGTACTCGCCCTCTGGCCATGGGAGATGGGCAGGAGGACTCGCTGTGGGGAGAGCTGGGCAGGAGAAGGAAGGTGTGCTGAACATTTGGGACAGGCGCTGGGGGAGGGGAGAGAGGAAAGGGGAGATTTCCAGGTGAAGATCTGGGCCCTAAGAGGTTGACAACTTGATCTCTTGGAAGAGCCGAGCTCGGCCACATGTCTGGGCAGCCCCAGGTGGCAGTGCGGGGCCATTGCCTGGGAGCTCTAGGGGGTTCTGGTGGGAAAGTGCCTGGTCAGCCCAGGGCCACCCTGGTGAGAGTTGGGGCTTTACTGCAGAGGACAGGCAGGGCGGCTGGGAGTGTTTCAGAGTGGAGGCAGCAGGACACTGAGTGTGGCCTGGGGCTAGCCCAGGAACCCCAGACCCCCCAGGCTCAGTGCCCAGATGCCCCAGAAAGACCCTTCACTCCACAAGGCTGTGGCAGCTGCTCATTCGTGACCCGCCTCAAGCTGGGCCAGGTGCCTGGCACAGGCCCCAGGTGTGGTTGGCTTGCCCCTCCTGCCTCAGATCTTATCCCTGTTGGGGCTCTGATAGGTGGGCAGAAGGCATAGGACAACGGGCTGAATATGGGCCCCATGCTCTGTTTTCTTTTTAAGATTGGCACCTGAGCTAACATCTGTTGCCAATCTTTCTTTTTTCTTCTTTTTCTTCTTCTTCCCAAAGCCTTTCACTACATAGTTGTATATTCTAGTTGTAGGTCCTTCTGGTTCTATGTGAGGCACCGCCTCTGCATGGCCTGGTGAGCGGTGCTAGGTCTGCGCCCCGGATTTGAACTGGCAAAACCCTGGGCTGCCGAAGCGGAGTGCACGAACTAACCACTCGGCCACGGGGCTGGCCCCCCATGCTCTCTTTCAGAACCAACACAGTCATCCTCGTGGACGCTGATGGGCACGTGACTTTCACAGAGCGCAGCATGTTGGACAAGGACCCCTCCCGCTGGGAGACCACCACCCACGAGTTCAGGCTGCAGAGTTAACCTCCACCCCTAGGCGTGGCCGGGGGGCTCCTGGAAGGCCCTGCCTCAAGGGCCATTGTGGATGGGGACCTTCCACAGCCACATGTACTGCCCATGACTTGGCCACTGTCCCCCAGGACCAAGGCCCTCTGATTTGTGTGTGATCTATCTGTGTCCCTGTGTCCAGCTCGGGGTCCACCCTTATGCCAATGAGAGTGACAGAGTCCCATGGCTAGGGCTGGGGCAGGCCCAGTTGTGCTATGCATGTGTGAATGCATCTGGGCCTATCCCCTGCCCCTGCACAGAAGCACAGGTGCATAGGCACACACGTACACTCTTAGGGCATGCACACATGCTCAAGTGTGCCCATATTCCCAGGCAGACACAAACCCAAGTACCAGATAGGCCTCTCGCACCCACACGTGCTTCTGGCTAGTGGGTCTTTGCTTTGAACAATGTGACAGAAGTAGGCTTTTCTTTAAAAGTGGCCCCTCCTCTCCTGGGCGTTCCAGGTCCCGGCAATCAGACCTGCTCTTGGAGGGGAAACAGGCCACATTTGGGATGAGGAATGACAAAGACCTGGGAAGAACCCACTCTCATAGCATATGCACAACCTGGTTGGTGGATCTAGTGGTCCTGTGTGTGTTGGGGGTCCCATGTGCATGGGGTGGTCCTGTGGGAGGGGTGATCCCCCATGCACTGGGGGTCCTGTGTGTGCTAGGCGCCTCAGCAGGCTCTCAGGCCCCTGCCCACCCACTGGGAGCCGTGGGTTCTGGGGAGGCCCAGCTCAGTGAGGGGATGCAGCCAGCCCCTGTCGTTTCCCTTCTCCTTGGGGAGTCAGACTTCACAGGAATCTGTACTTGAATGTGAGACATTGGTAATAAAACTTTCATGCTGGAGTGAGTCAGTGCATTCCAGATCCCTAACTCGTGTGATGGGGATGCCGGCAGCTGTCGTGTGTGCGGGGTTGGCGGGGCTCTCTCCTGGTGGCCGGGCTCCCGAGGCACAGACACCGGCACTAGCCTCCTTCCACTTTCTCCTTTGCCCACGGCCTCCTGAGCGCCATGATGGAAGCCCGAGGGTCCACTGGCCTGTCTATCCGTCTGTCCTTGGGCAGAGGCCAGGTTGCGAGAGACCCTGTGTGCACGGGATGCCGTTGGTGCCTGTTATAGGGCCTGCTGCGCTGGGCGGAAAGCCGGGGATTCACCCAGGTGCAGGCAGGAGCCCCGAAGGACCCCCTGAGGGGGTGGTGTGGTCAGGCCTGCAATCAGGGTGGACTGTGGAGGCCAGGGGATGGCAGGAAGGGGTAGGTTTCAGAGCAGGAGAACAAGTGGAGTGTGTCTCAGCCCCAGGACCCTGGTTTTGGACAAGCACTCAGGAGTTCCTGTCCCCAGGAAGGGCCGAGCATTAGGCGGTCCTGTGTCCAATGCTGAGACCCAGGTTTCCCTCTGCCTCTGACCCCCAGCTTGGCCTTCTCAGAGCAGTGAGAGCTCGGGGTGGGGTGTGGACCTACACTGGACCCAACTTGCCTCCCCACCCCTCCTCCTTCCTGCCCTGACCACCCCTCAGGGCCTGACGTCCTCCTTGCTCACTTTGAACTCAGAAGCAAAGAGCCTGAGCGCAGCCAGGCTGGAAGGGGTCTCCCAGTGACAACGCAGCCTTGTCTCCCAGGCCCACGGGGAAACCAGCTCCCTGTCCCACACGTCTCTGGCTCAGCCACGACAAGCCACGCTCTCAGCTCGCGCACTGCTGATGCTGCCAACACCCTTTGTCTGCCTCAGTGGGCTGCCCACATCATGGACCAGTGCCCCACGCCAGCACCCACCCTAGCCAGGCATGTCTGCCCTCGGGGGCGCCGCTGGGCTGGCTTCAAAGCCATCTGAAGAGCCTCCCCAGATGTTTGCCTCTGCCCCAGGGATGGGGACTGTCCTGGGATAGCTTTCCCAGCCCTTGTCACGGACCCCCCTGACCCCAGCCTGCCCTGGGCCCCCCGAGGAAGGGGCAGCCCAAGATGGAGCTTTGTCGTTGCTATGGGTTGAGTTGTGTGCCCTGAAAAAGATCAGTTGGAGTCCTAGCCCCATGCCTCAGAACGTGGCCTTATTTGGGTCTTTAAGGAGGCAGTCAAGATAAAATGAGGTCATTAGGGTGGGCCCTAATCCAACATGACTGGTGTCCTTATGGAAAAAGGGAAAGTTTGGACGCAGTGACAGACATGCATGCAGAAAGAACACCCTATGAAGATGAGCTAGCCTGCTGCCCGCCAAGGAACTGGGAGACAGGCCTGGAACAGACCCTTCCCTGGAGCCTGCAGAGGGAGCACGGCCCTGCCGACACCTCGGGCCAGACGTCTGGCCTCTAGAATGTGAGATGGTAAATTTCTGTGGTTCAAGCCACTCACCTGCAGTACATTATGGCAGCCCTAGCAAAATAATTCACTTGTGACCTTCACCTTACAGATGAGGAGACCGAGGCTTGGAGAGATGCTGTAACAGTCCCTCAGTCCCTGGGCAGGTGGGGAGGCAGAGCCATGAGGACAGGAAGGAGCAGGATGAGGACAGGCGGACCTCGGAGTACCTGCCTCTGTCAGCCTATTGTCCTCCCATGCTGGTCTCACCCTGCTGCCTGGCACCCCTCCTGCCTTCACTTCACTTGCCCTGGCCCTTGCCACTGTTCGTGGCCATGCTTTCTGCTCAGCTCCTGCCCCAGGGCCTTTGCATTTGCTGTCCCCTCTGCCTGAAGAATTCCTCTCCTGGATATCCAAACTGCACTCGCCCTCACGTGCTGCAGTTCTTTACTATAGTGTTGGGGAGGCATCCCATCCAAAGGTGCCTCCGTCCCTGCTGTTTTTCTCCATAGCAGTTGCCACTGTCTGACATGCTATGTATTTTAGTGGTTTCCTGTGTGTCTCTCTGTCAGAACGAGCGCCCCAGGAACGCAGGACCTTTCCTCTCTTGCCACCACTTTATTCTGATGCTTAAGGCAGGGAGACATTTGAACCAAAGAGGACAGTGCTGAGGCTTCCTGAGCCCCTGTTGATTTAGGCCAGTGCCTTGAAGTGAGGCACCTGTGCTGTAAGAAGGGTGCAGGGACCCTACGACGCTGATCCCTTCTAGAAATGCTTTTGACGTGCCATGCAGGAATGCCTGGACCTGACCTTGGCATGGCCTAGCCAGTCCTCTGTGCTTGTCACCAGATGCGTCTGATCCCTGAGTCCTCTCCTCCTGGCAGATGGGGATTCACCTCCTTCTCAGATACCCTTTCTCAGAGAAGCCACTTCTGCTCTCTGGCTCCAAGATGGCCGAGTTGAAGTGTGCAGGCGTGGAGGCTGGAGGTGAGGGGATGACCAATGTGGAGGCAAGTCTATGAGCAAACACAACCAGTCCAGGAGTGCAGCCTGGCCCTGGGGCTCATCCTAGTAGGCCTGGGCTCCTGGCCTTCTGCCCACAGAGACCCCCCCAACACCCTATCTTTTGGTCTCTGCCAGCAGAAGGCATTGTCCAGGCCGTTTAGCAGAGACTTGGCTCATAAGTGAGGTGGGCTGAAGTGGAAACACAGGAGCCTAGAAGGAAAAGATTCCTCCCCAAGCTTGGGCTGGAGTTCCAGGTCCCAGGTATTGATCCTTGCACCTCAGGCTGGAGCCAGAAAGGGACTGTGGGGAGATCCTGTGGTGAGAGGGTCCTTGTCCATCACCCAGTTGGTCCCGGGCCATTTGGGAAGCTGGTTGTACTGTGCAGGTCTGAAGTCTCAGGTCCGACTGGGTCAGGTGGGGCCCCCAGCTCACCAAGCAACGAGGTGTAGCAAGGTCCCTAAGGCTGGATGATGGCGTAGCAAGGGTTCCCACAGGCTCTGATTGCACTTGGCCAAGGCCAGCAGCTGGCCCAGCCACAGGGAAGCTGGTGTCCCTTGACTGAGTCCAGGAGCCAGACCCTCATGGGGCTTGGTGCCCACTGTGAGGTGCCTGGTGCTAGCCACCGGGGCAGCCAGGTGAACAGAAGCGGGCAGGAAGGGAGGGAGAGGCCTGGGTAGGCCTCCGGCTTCATCACTGGCAACACCCACTCTCCTCGCCTTTTTTAACTTTTTCATTTTGAAATTATTTCAACTTAACTAAAAACTTGAAAAAATAGAACAGAGCAATCCAATCTTTCACCCTGTTTCCCCAAATGTTAACACCTTACCTAACCACCATAAAATGATTACAACCAGAAAATTAGCATTGATACAATACTACTAACTAATCTACAGGCTTTATTTGAATTTTACCAGTTGTCTCACTCATATCCCTTTTCTGAGCCACCATCCAACCTGGGGTCCAGATCCCACATCACACTTAGCTGGGTCTCCTTTAATCAAAGATGGCTCCTCAGTCTGCCTTTGACTTGAATGATGACACTTTTGAAAAGCACTGGCCAGTTTGTTGGTAGAGTGTCCCTTATTTTGGTTTGCTCTTCATGATGACATTCAGGTTTTGCGCCTGCAAGTGACACACGTCCTCAGGAGGCCCATGATACATCCCTTTACTGGTGCTAACTTTTTTCTTCATTTTTATTGAGGTACAATGAATACAATGCAATGCACATCTTTAAAGTGTACAATTTGGTAAGTTTGAATGTGTAACATTTGCACGTGACCGTGGTCACTTGGTTAAGGCGGTGTATCCCAGGTTCTTCCCCCTGTAAAGTTACTATGTTCCCTTTGAAATTAGGAAATATCTGGGGCAGAAACTCCGTAGAAAACAAAGAAAAACCTCCACCTGTTTCTCATACTTTCGTTCACTATTTTTAGCATCCACAATTTTTGTCTCCAGCAGTTATCGTGCTAGCTGCCACATGGGCGATTTTCCATTTCCATCATTCCCCTTACAGTTATCGAGTGGGATTCTGATCTAAGGACGAGCTGTCCCTTCTCCGTTTACTGACGCCCTCCCCTCTCGGAGGCTCCCGGTGCCGGCTGGCAAACGAGGCGTGCCAGACAGCGCATGCGCTTGTCTCTTCGCTTTGGCTGGGAATCCTGCAAAGCCTCCGTGTGGGCGGCCTCCCCCGCAGTCCAGACCGGAGACGCCCGGCCGGGGCCGCCCCGCGCCCTCTGCCCCGCGCCCGCCCCGTTCCCGGCGGCCCCGGCGCTCGCCCCATTCCCGGCGGCGCCCCCGCCGGCCCCGGCTCCCGGCGGCCCTCGCGCTCGCCCCGTTCCCGGCGGCCCCGCCCGCCCCGGCTCCCCGCGGCCGTCCCGTTCCCGGCAGCCCCCGCGGCCGCCCTCCGCGCCGCGAGCCCCGCCCAGGCGCCGACCGTTACGGCCTCGGCCTCGGCGCCGCGCCATTGGGCCGCGCGCCGCGCGTCGGATTGGCGGCGCCGCTGCCCGCCCCGCGGCTCCCCCAATGCGGGCGGCCGCGCTCAGGGATTGGCCGCGCGCCCCAGGGCCCGCCCTCCGCTCGCCCGCGCGGCAGGCGGGGCCGCCGGGCGGAGGAGCCGGGCCGGCCTTCCCGGGGGCGGCGGCGGCCGCGCGCTGAGCGCTCCCCGCGGCAGTCGGGCTGTGGCGGCTCGGGCAGGCCGCGGGCGCCGGAGGTAGGTGCGGGGCGCGAGGGGCGCCCCGCGGGCGGCGGGCGGGCGTGGGGGCCGCGCGAGGGCGCCCTTCCCGCCTCCCTCCCTCCCTCCCTTCTATGCGGCCGCGGCGCGCGGAGCGCCGGCCTTTGTGAGGCATCATGGCCGCGGGCCTCGAGAGCGCGGCGGGCGGGCGGGCCCCGGGAGCAGCCGGGTGAGAGAGGCCCGCGCCCCGCGGGCCCGAAGCCTGGCGTCGCCTTCAGGCGGGAAAGGTACGAGCAGGGCCGCTCGCCCGGCAGCCTCCGGGAGCACAGTTTGGGGAATCTGTGAAGTCGCCCAAGTCTTTTCTGCCACCAGATGCTCGTGGATTGAGTGTCGCGCAGACGATCGGAGTGTGGCTTTATTGTAACCATGAGCGCAGTAGAAATAAATGGGAGGTGGCAACCTGTTGACAGTGATACCTGTCAAGTGTCACCAGCGGACTTGCGGTGCTTGTGGTAGGAATTGGGCTTGCCGTTTTGCATGCTTGCATGTCCCTTGTTCCCCGATGCACGACAGTCTAGTCTAAGGCTGTTGACTGTGTGAGGCCAACCACTAGGCGAGGACCCTGTTTCCCGTCACCGGGCCACGGGTGGAGTGACCCAAACCCCACCGCAGGCCGTCATTCGCCAAAGAGAGTGAATGGCCACTTGGGGTGCAGAATGTGAGGCCCCTTGGAGGATGACAAAAGGAATGGATGAGGTCATACTGCCGCTGGGTTGGGCGGGAGGCTGCAGCATGAGAGGTTTGACCGAAAGGCAGCAGCCACAGCACTGGACCATCACAGCCGGCCGGTGCCTGATGCCAGCCCAGCGAGTGGACTCCAACGAAGGGTGCTGTCCAGGCGTGTGGGTCTTGCCCTGGGCCGGGGATCCCAGGGAGCCTGCTGCGAGTCTGCTGCTGGCTCACGGTCCAGTTGGCATCCTGTGCTCACTCGGCAGAAGCATGGTGAGGCTGGCGGCCGAGAGCCCCCTTGGAGCCCTGTGTGCCAGGCGCTGTGTAGGGTGCTTCCAGGGCGGTTCTGCAGCCCAGCTGTGCCCTCAGGCAGGAAATGTGCATCTGCCTGGTTTGTCCCGTCTTGGCCTCTCTCCTAGCTGCCCTTCCCTCCTCGGTGGTCGCCTCTAGCCTCCTGGCTTTAGTGCCGTCATCGCTGCTTGACATCTCCCTCTCCCTCTCCAGCCCTGGCCTGCCTTCTCAGCTACAGCCTCACGTTTCTCCCTGCCTCTTCCACATCTCCCTGTGTTAGTTTGATGCTAAGTAGCGGTGTCCAAACCAAACCCCGATCTTCACCCACCCCAAAACACTCCCCATGTTACCTTTACCACCTCAGCACACGACATCTCTGTGCTTGAGTTTGAAGTCTCCTGGATTCCTCTCTCTCAGGCCTTTCTGCAACCCTCAGGACCATTTCTCACCACCTCCAGCTTAACGTTGGTTGGAGCCGCCCGGTGAGCCTCTTAATTCCTCTTTGTTCTCGTCCTGTTTCTCCCCTCCTCCCCTCGCCCCCAATATGTAGTTTTTCTAGACACACAGTGGTTCTTTTAAACTGCAAGATAGTGTAAAACCAAGGCAGTACAGACTGGAGCCAGCTTGCCTGGGTCATAAAGCAGCTCCACCACGTTCTAGCTGTGTGACCTTGAGTAAGTTGCTTAACTTTTCTGTCCTTAACCTTTCTCTCACAGTGCTGTGTGAGAACTAGTGACTAAAAATGCATAAAGTGCAGGGCCTGGCTGAGGGTTGGCTGCCGCTGTTGTCGTTGGGTCATGTGACCTCACTGCTTGGACTCTGCTGTCCAGTGGCTTGTGTCTCTTCAGATAAGAGCCAAAGTCCTGGTCTTGTTCTTCCTCACTGACCTGGCCTCTTCTGACTGCCCCTCCACACACTGCTCTCCCTGGCTAACCCACACTCCCACCCCAGGGCCTTTGCTCTTCTCTGTGTCACCTGGAATGTCCCTGCCCCTACCCCCACTATGCACCTGGCTCGCTCTCTTCTGCATTCGCTGACCACCCTTCTGAAGCTGCCTCCTCTTCCCCAACTCTCTGCTTTGTTTTTTCTTGAACACTTTGAGCTGTTCTTAGTCGTTACTTGTGCCTCTGTCCTGCTGAGGTGTGAGCTCTGTGGAGAAGGGCTTTCTCTGTTGTGTGTCCTCAGCATCTAGAATGGTGTGTGCCACGTGGAAGGCGTTCGGCACACACCTGTTGAGTGGATAGAGAAAGCTTACAGAGGGACAGTAAGTAACTTGCCCGAAACTGCCCTACTGCAGAGTCCTGAGCCTTGAACTGCTGCCCCTGGGCCTGGGCAGGCTTTCCTGACCTCCTAGGAGCGCACTGTCCCTCTCACGACCCCTGACCCCGCCCTGCGCCCTTCTTCCAGGTCCCTTTCGTCAGTTATTATTGTTAGTGTCTGTGCTTTGTGCCTCTACACTGGCTGCTTTTTAACCTTTTAATATCTTGTACCAACATTTGTCTTCAGTCCTCCCATCTCCTCACTTGTCTTCATGTTTGCTTTTCGGCCTCCAGGATCGTAGATTGGCCCTCATTAGGGTCTCTGCAAACCTGCCGGGCGCTGAGGGGTTTGGTCCTGGTCTTCTCTGTGTTCTGTAGCACTGGGCGTGTGACCTGTCTGTCCTTCTCTGAGATGATCTTTCTTGGTTGCCGGGAGACTGGCCTTGCTTCATTGAGTGTTCCTTGTGCCCGTCTGCTGCAGCCTCCTCAGCGTGTACTGCAGGTCTGGGTCTCATTGTCTCCATGCTGTATTTCCTTGATCCTAAGCATTTTTGATGGGCACACCTTTGGAGGAGGTATTGTGTTAAATTCCCATTGAATTCAGAAATGAAAGGACACCTTAGAATCTAGGAAATAGAGTGACAGCACAGTGGTCATTGCCTTTCCAACTTTGTCCAGGGGGTGGGGACCTTGTTGCTTGGTCATGGTAGTGCCGCCCTCAGAGTAGATGGTCAGTGAATATTTGTCGAATGAATTAATTAAATCTAAACAAGTCTCTGGTTTTTATTTGTGTCTCCATTAAAGTACAACCACCACGCTCTGTCCCTTCCCTGTAAACTTCTTAAATGTGTGGGGTCTGCTCTCTCCTGTTCATGCTACCAGTCAGCCTGCCCCATGTGGGCGTGGGCATGCATGTGCATATGTGCACCCACATGTGCGGCATGTTCATGTGTGTGTCTGCATGGTGTGGGAGTGTAGATGTATGCGCGTGCGTGCGTGTGTCTACATGTGCTTCTCCTGCTCTGATGCCCGGCCCTTCTGCAGACCTCCGGGTTTTCGGATTGCTCTTCTGACCTGCCTTCTGAGCCACACATCATCCCTTTTGTTGTGCTTCCTCTAGAGTAAAGCTTCTCAGAGTTGTGTTCTCAGCCCTCTTGGTCTGTATTTCCTCTCTGGATGGCCTCTCTCCTGTCGTTTGGCAACTCCTGCCTCACTCATATGTTCTGGCCCCCTGTTTCTAGGCCAGTCACAGTTCCAAAGCTGTGGCCTCAGCACCTGTCAGACAGGTCTGCCTGGAGGCTCTTTCCATTCTCCTCTGCGGGCTCCTGCCTGGATGCTGGAACACGTGTGTACCTCCAGGGGAGAAGCCTCATTCCCCTTCAGTTCCCTCTTGTCTGTTCTCCCACCTCTGCCTGGTCAGCAGTGCGCTTAGTTCTGTGTTTTCACCGTTCTCGAGGGCTCCAGCCTTGTCACCAGAGCCCCTTTCCCACTTTTGCCCTTTGGTCTTGAGGATTGGCCCCTGTGCCTTGGGTGCAGGCACTGTGCCTAGCATAGCTATCAGTCTTCTTCCTCAAATAGTGACTAACTATGGCATGAGAGTCACTTCACCCTCCGTGGCTCCTTATTGCCCCCAGTATGGAGCCAGGCTCCAAATGGCACCCAGGGCTCCCTGTGCCTTGGTTCCAGCTGTCTCCTGCAGCTCCCCCCACCAACCCTGGCCAGGCTCCCTTCCCCACAGCCACTACCCCCTCCTCTTCTGGGAACAGAACCATGCCACCTCTGGCGATCTTATCACACAGCATCACTGTCCCTATCCACGTCCCACCTTGTGGGCCCAGGAGAGCTCTGGGGTCCGGGATTGCAGAGTGCCGGGCCGTACCTCTAGGCCCTGGTGCCGCAGAGTTGAGCCAGGGGTGTGGCGCTCCCCTCTGACTGACCCAGCCCTAGCAGGTGAGTGGATTGCTCTTGCTCTGATGGCCAGAGGGAGACCGCACACCTTTTGTGTGTTCTGGAAAGGGCAGCCCTGCACCGTGTGCTTGCTTACCTGATAAACTGAGTTAGGGAAATGCTGCGGTGACGTTTAGTGTGGCTTTTTTTTGTTTAATCCCTTTGAACCTTAAGATAATACTCGTTTTGTGTTTCTGAAGTAGGAATTACAGTGGACAGTTAATAAGATATTTAACTCTGGACTTAAATTGTAACTCAGGTTCTCAAGAAAAAAAGTAAAGTCAGTTTGTTTTGAAACCTGAAAGGTTCTCTTAGGCAGTATTATTTTAAGTTCTTTACTATATCGTTAATAGCACTTGGCTCTTTGTACCAGGGAAATTGAAGGTTTCTGTCATTTTGTGATGATGTTTTTAAATCTCTTTGCAGGTGGAAGAAGAAAGGTGCCACTTTGGCATGAAGACAGACTCGCTTAGTCGTCAGTCATTTAAGCTGAGTGCATTGTGATTTCCAATAATTGAGGCAGTGGTTCTAAAAGCTGTCTACATTAATGAAAAGAGCAATGTGGCCAGCTTGACTAAGCCGCCAGCGTGTGCAGCGCGGGCAGGACGGCACCCGGGTCTCGACGGACTTGTGCATGTTAGCTGTATAGATTTATGTAAGGTCTTTTAAAACTCTGGTCTTTAAAATAGTCTTAACGCTTTTACTATGGAGACATATGAGAGTCCCTCTCCTCTCCCGCGTGAGCCCGCAGGAGAAGTGGTGATGGAGAACCGAGCTTGCCCCCTCCAAGCGCTGCCCCGTGAACAGTCTCCACCACCTCCCCTGCAAACGTCCAGTGATGCAGAGGTAATGGACGTTGGCTCTGGTGGTGATGGACAGGCCGAACCCCCTGCTGAGGACTCGCTCAACTTCTACGGAGCTTCTCTTCTCTCCAAAGGATCCTTCTCTAAGGCGCGCCTCCTCATAGACCCGAACTGTAGTGGCCACAGCCCGCGCACCGCCCGGCACGCACCTGCGGTCCGGAAGTTCTCCCCTGACCTTAAGTTGCTTAAGGATGTAAAGATTAGTGTGAGCTTTACCGAGAGCTGCAGGAGTAAGGACAGGAAGGTGCTGTACACAGGAGTGGAGCGCGACGCTCGTGCAGAGTGCGGTCGGGCCCTTAGCCCTGTCAGTGGAGACGTGCATGCTTGTCCCTTTGGCGGGAGTGTTGGTAATGGGATCAGTGTAGGGGGTGAGAGTGCTGATAAGAAGGATGAGGAGAATGAGCTGGAGCAGGAAAAGAGAGTGGAGTATGCAGTGCTGGATGAGGTAGAAGATTTTACTGACAATTTGGAGCTAGATGAAGAAGGAGCAGGCGGGTTCACGGCTAAAGCCATCGTGCAGAGAGACAGAGTGGATGAAGAGGCCTTGAATTTCTCCTATGAGGTATGTCAGCAGCCCCTCCTTTGGGGTGTTCTTGGCAAATCCCCAAGAGAAGTGTTTGGGAATGGCAACATCTTTTGAAAGCTGATATTGCAGAGAAAAAAGATACAACCCAGATGAGGAGGAATAATGTTAAGGTGGAAAAGAGAAAGCTCTAAAGAGTCCCGATTTTTAAACTTTCCTAATGAAAAGTTTAGCCGACAGGTTGACCTTGTCCCCGTTACCTGACCTGAGCTGAGTTGGAAGGTGCTGCTGAGAAGGCTCCCTGGTGGGGTGTGCACCGGGACCAAGCGTGTTGGTTTCTGTTGTTGGTGTTTTCCCGTTCGTCGTTGAGATGATCACGTACCATAAAGGCACACCTAGGCCCCCTTGACAGTGCCTTGTTTCTGTGTCCATTCTCACAAATGCTGTTAAGCTTGCCCATGGTGCAGGAACGCAGGCGCCGGGGGCCATGGGGTCTGAACAGCATGTTTTGCAGGATGATTTTGACAACGATGTTGATGCTCTGCTGGAAGAGGGCCTTTGTGCTCCCAAAAAGAGACGAATGGAGGAGAAATACGGAGGAGACAGCGACCATCCGTCTGATGGAGAGACAAGCGTGCAGCCAATGATGACCAAGATTAAAACAGTACTCAAAAGTAAGTCACCAAGTCAGAGGCGCTGCATGTCCCCAGGGCAGCAGAAGTGCAAGTGGAGAGCCCCAGGGCGCCGGGCGGTCTGGGCAGCGGGCTTGTGTTTTAGGGCACGGTAGTCACGTGTGGCGAAGGGAGGACAGGCTGCAGGATGCACCCGATGCAGCGGCCCAGGTGCCGATCCTGGTGTGTGCTGTGGGAGCCACGCAGTGGCTGGTGTTGTGCGGAGGAGCAGGGAAGGGACCTCTGAGGAGGGGACGTTGGTGTGTGCTGGGAGACTGGCAGCCAGTGGGTGTGGAGGCTGAGGCCAGAGGTGGGTGCTCAGCCCCCGTGGCGGATGATGGTCGTGGTCTGGGTTCTGGATTCCATGCTGAGTGTCAGGGCAAGCCGCTAGAAGCAGGCAGATGTCGGTACACAATTTTTGTCTAAAAGCACAGCTCCTGTGGCCTCAGCATGGCTGGTGCATACACTTCGGGTGGATAGGGTGGGAGCTCCTGGGTACAGGTAGAGGTGTGCCAAAGGTGCAGGCAGTGGGATTTGCACTTGGGCTTGGGGACAATGGGGAGAGTAGTCGAGAGGTGCCTAGAGTTGTGCCTGTGTAGTGACTTCACCAATGCGATGCTGGTCTGAGAGGAGTTGGTGTCAGTTTCTGTCTCTCCTGGCCGGGAGATGCCTTTGAGTGTCCAGGTGAGATGTCAGGCTGGGCACTTGGGCAGTGAAGAGGGGCTGAAGAGACGTGGGGACTTGGGTACACAGGTGACACCTTCGGCTGAGGGCCAAGGTGCAGAAAGTGGTAAGGCATCACAGGGGGAAATCGAGGGGCAGGTGGTGTGTGGTCTCCTCTGGCTGCAGAACAGGTATGTCAGCCATGCTGGGTGTCACGTGTCTGCCCATGTCAGCTAGTGTTAGAACAGGACAGGTGTTGGGTTCACTGGTTACAGACGGAGATGAACCTGGGGCCTCAGCTTCTGGGAAGTGGGGGCAGTCTTTCCCTCGGTGCCTCTGGAAGTTTAACTTTGTGCTCTCTGTGTAGCTTCAGCAGTCTCACTCTGAGCAGATGAGCTGAGAACGTCCTGAGCAGCCCCCAGCGTAGCAGTGTGCCTGGCTATGACTTCAGGTGCCTGCAGTGGCACTGCTGTGCCTTTCTGTAGCCTCCTCTTCCACCTTAGCTGCCTGGCAGGCTGCCCGGCAGTGCTGCCTCCCTCCCAGGAGCTGCAGTGTGAGCCTTATGCTCACAGACTCCCTGTGGGCTGCATGGGAGTTCTACTGGTGGCCGGGTCCACTTTGTGACTGCTCATTGTCTCAAATGAGTGGCCCAGATGCACTTGTGTCCTGTGTTGTGCTTGGCTCTTATTTTGTTTCGTTCTCCTTCTCCTGCCTTAGCCCAAAGCTGGTGTAAGGTGGCTCCCTGTTGGCCCTAGCACCCGGTGAGAGTTCCTGATGGAGTCCGTGCAGCACTCCCTCCTGGGGGCTGTCCTGACACCAGCCATTGGCCAGTGTCAGCCATGTGTGTGTGTTAGGCCTGGGGTCAGTGCTGCTGGGTGGGGACCTGGCACTGGGGTGCCATTCCCTTTTCCTTGAGAGTCATTGGTGCCTTTTTTGTCACTACGTATTTATTTTTTATTTAACTTTTTTTGAGGAAGATTAGCCCTGAGCTAACATCTGCCACCAATGCTCCTCTTTTTTCTGCTGAGGAAGACTGGCCCTGAGGTAACACCTGTGCCCATTTTCCTCTATTTTACGTGGGATGCCTACCCCAGCATGGCTTGACAGCAGTGCGTAGGTCCGCACCCGGGATCCAAACCTGCGAACCCCTGGCCGCTGAAGTGGAACGTGTGAACTTAACTGCTTCACCACCGGGCCAGCCCCGTGTATATTTTCTTTTAGACTTCACTTGCTTTTTTCCTTTGTTTTAAGTTTTTAACTTGCTCCACTATCTGCAAGAAAATTAAGTCTTAGTTAAATCTTTGCCTTGTGCTTTTCCCAGCAACCAGGCCTGTGAGCAGCAGGTATTAAGTGGATAACAAGTTTTGAGCTTTTTTTTATGACTGCCTGTAAAGTGAGGAAGGAGTTGAGATAGTGTGTTAAAACTGATTTAGAATTTATTAATTTGCAGCAGTGTTTCCGTATGCTAGTGAGAGTGTGCAGCTCAGGTCCAATGCAGACTTGTCAGCTGGTCACGGAGCAGTGGTTGACAGACATGCAATTTATTAGCAAAGCGTACCCAGCTCCTGGGTTGTCTGAGCCGTGGCCATGGCAGGCAGGTGAGGAGTGGAGTGTACATGGTGCTCACTAGCTGGGGAGGCAGCAGCTGAGGCTAGGACTTGTGTCTTGCAGAACCCCGTTCCAGGCTCCTTCATGCACCATATGTTGTTCTAGGCCCAGGATTCCAGCATTGAGCAGGGTGGACAGCTTCCTGCTGTCACAGAGGGACTTGGATTCTCTGGGTTAGACCCCGGGAAACAAGGACACCAGTACTGAGCACAGTTTGGAGTGCAAGAGGTGCCGAGCAGCAGGCACTGAGCGACAGGTGGGGCTAGGATAGGCTCTCTGGTAGAAGGGGTGGGCCACTCCCCTACTGCCCTAGTCCTTAGGGGTTCTTTTCAATATTTGGCCAACTTCTAAGTTTATATCTGCCATATGTCATAATTTTTAAACATCCCGACAATTCTAAGTGTTTTCAAGAGATTGTAGGATGTCCTTGTCTTCTGTGCAGGTCGTGGCCGCCCACCTACGGAACCATTGCCCGACGGGTGGATCATGACATTCCATAACTCCGGAGTCCCCGTGTACCTACACAGAGAGTCCCGGGTGGTCACCTGGTCCAGGCCGTACTTCTTGGGAACGGGAAGCATACGGGTAGGGGGCGCGCCAGTCGTGAGTTTAGTCTTGTAAGTTCACAGACCAAATATGCTTGTCTGCACACAACTATATCATAGCCAAGTAGTGGCAGGTGAAAGGCATCGGTTATTCAGACTTTCAGGGTCATCCTTGTAATCTTGTTGCAATTTCACTATCCACAGAAACATGACCCTCCTCTGAGTAGCATCCCTTGTCTACATTACAAGAAAATGAAGGACAATGAGGAGAGAGAGCAGAACAGCGAGCTTGCCCCAAGTGGGGAGGTGTCCCTTGTCAAGCCGCTGAGCCGATCTGCAGACCTGGAGTTCCCCCTGGAAGAGCCTGACACTGTGGGGGCCGACCCAGGGCCCCCAGATGAGAAGGACCCGCTGGGGGCCGAGGCTGCCCCTGGGGCCCTGGGGCAGGTGAAGGCCAAAGTCGAGGTGTGCAAAGACGAATCGGTTGGTAAGTTTCCGCAGTGAACTGTCTTCCCCCTTGCTGGCCAGGACCTGTCTGCGGGCATGCTGCATTCCACGCCTTCCCTGCGGTCTCCTTCCTCCTGCTGAAGGCCATTTGTTCCTCCTGTTTGTGAGGAAGGGACTGTGCTAGGGACCCCTGTCCACTCCTGTCTAGTTGGAAAGGCCCGTCTCCCTGATCCTCGGGAGTCTTGAGCTCTAGGTGCTCAGAGTGAGCTTTTTCAATCCGTGGAGGCAGCGCTGGGGACCTCTGCCACTGTTATGTGGACATTTCCCTCTTCTCAAGTCACAGTTGCTTTGAGGATGTGTGTGGGTGTTTCTCATTCTCTCTCCTGTGTCTTTGAGCTTAGTTCTGCCCATTTGAGTAGTAGTAGTCTCTTCACTGCAGGGCAGGCTGTTTGAGCCCACCTGCTGAATGTTTTTCAAAGAGAGGACTTTGCACGTTCAGGATTTCCGATTGTCTGTATCTTGCTGCCCTGCCTGTCTCATAACTCCTGCGTGTGAGGGGTCCTAGAAGAGCTAGGAGGGAGGTGTGGGGCACTGTTCCTGAGGAAGGGGGCCTGTCACTGTCGCACTCACTGGGCAGAGGAAGCATGACTCTTACATTGAAGATGAGTAATCTCATCCTCTGGTAAACCTCATTCAGATCTTGAGGAGTTTCGGAACTACCTGGAGAAGCGCTTTGACTTCGAGCAAGTTACTGTGAAGAAATTCAGGACTTGGGCTGAGCGGCGACAGTTCAACAGAGAGATGAAACGCAAACAGGCTGAGTCCGAGAGGCCCATCCTGCCAGCCAATCAGAAGCTCATCACTCTATCTGTGCAAGATGCACCCACAAAGAAAGGTGAGTGAGCTGGTAAATTTTAACATTGGCAGACTGGTTGTACTATTATTTTTCATTTCATGTTCTTAGAATGTATGCTTTGTGTGTGAGTTGCATTGAATTCCAAGCTTGTGTTTGTCCTTTGAATGCAGAGGTCCACCGCATTCATGGTGGTGAGCCCCTGATTCAGTGACTCGGTAACTTGCATGGTGTCAGGTCCTGAGTGCTAGCTTGTGGTGGGTCTTAACGCTGTTGCTGAGATGGTCTTTCTTGTCACAGAGTTTGTCATTAACCCCAATGGGAAATCGGAGGTCTGCATCCTGCACGAGTATATGCAGCGTGTCCTCAAGGTCCGCCCCGTGTATAATTTCTTTGAATGTGGTAAGTTTGACCTTCCCCATCTCTGCCATGAACAGTCACATGCGTCACTTTGGTCACGGCTGGGGAGGTGGGAACTGACCATTGGCCCCACTCTTTTGGGAAAGGGATGAAAGGGAAGGGCAAGGAGAAGCGTGTTGCAGGTAGGCGGTGGGTCATTTTCACGGAACGGGTCCTGTCGGAGGCTGAATCCTCTGCTTTCCACACTGCCTTCCTCTTGTCTAGCCCCGGCTGCCTTGCTCTGAGGAAGGCCTTCCTGCTGTGTCTCCCAGTGGCCCTAGGCCTGCCCTTCCCACTTGCTGTCTCTGTGGTTGTCCTCATCACACCTTTGTGGAATCCAGTTTCTCCTCCCCTTGGAAGCCAGAACCTAGGCGTCTCTCCTCATTTTCCTTGTTGTTTCTTTGGCTCACAACATCTGTGCATCCCTACCCCTCACAGTCCTCTGTCCGTCTTTCTCAGACATTGGTCCCTGTCCCTGGTGCCCTCTGGCCTCCTGTTTCCCCTCCAGCTCCCTATCCCATGGTCCCCCGTTTCCTTTGATTTTCCTGGTCTCTGCCTGCTGCCTCTCCCTCGGCTCCATCTCCATGCCTCAGAGCTCCCCGGCCTCTGCCTTCTGGCAGCAGCCTTGACCCCACCTTGTCTGTTGGTGTGAGCAGATTGTGTGTATGCGTGTGTGTACACTTGTAATGTCTTGGCAAGTGTGTTTAAAACAGTAATTTTAATTTTAAGAGAACCCAAGTGAGCCTTTTGGTGCCTCGGTGACCATTGATGGTGTGACCTATGGATCTGGAACTGCAAGCAGCAAAAAACTTGCGAAGAATAAAGCTGGTAATGTGCCTGCTTGGGTGTCAGAGAACCATGCTGCTCGCCGTGTGTGCCCCTCCCCTTGGCTAGGGAGGGCTGAGCAGCAGCCCAGGTGGGAGGGGTGTTGGGGGGACAAATCCATTTTATTTGTGTAACCACTTACTTGGATTTTTTAAATTATGTGCTCACTGGAAAAGATTCAAGTAGAGAAAGTAAAATGTGAGAAATAAAAGTGGACGGTCGTTTCCCCACTCAGTGGCAGCTGGGCTGGAGTCTCCTGCTCTCACCCGGCTGCTCACAGACGGTGGGGTGTGCTCAGCGCCAACTGGCTGTGCCGGGCACACGCTCTGGAGTGGGTTTGTATTTAAACCGAGCAAAACGTGGCATGCTAGGAGACGGCGAACAGACAGATCGGCATGCTGTCAGCATTCTCCGCGAGTGGTTTTTACATTTGGGGATGATTTCCTGAGTCCTTCAGACTCCGTACTTGGGACTGCCACTCACTGAACGGGGCATTGCAGGTGTCTGGAAAAGCTTGTTTTATGGTTGAAACCCATCGCTCTTTTTGACCATGTACTTGATGTTTGCTTTCATGCCCAGCACTAGTAATTGTTGACATTCTTTTCCAAAAGCCATTTTGCCCCAGTTATTTTGCCTCTTCTGGGGAGTGGACCACAATGCCAGGTGGTTGTTGGGTGCACCCCAGACCCTGGCACTCACACATTGATTCTTGTGGTTTCTGCTATTGCCGTGTTGTCTTCAGAGCGGTTCTGCCCTTTACAAAGTGTGAAGTGTGTCACTTTTATCACAGGCTCACTGAGTCTCGGGGTCAGTGAGTGTTTTTGCTCACTGGACTCAGAGTTCCCTTGGTGTTGCTCTCTTTTGATGGTATATACTGAGATGATTGGAACAATACATTGCTGTCTGCCATTCCTCTGTGAGGCTGTGCTGGGCTCACATACTCTGGCCTGGTCTCCAGGAAGGCCTGCTGTCCGTTTAGAGAGCTTCTGCCAAAAAACTTTTTCAGCTCAACAAACTGCCTGTTACCAGGGTGTGGAGCAGATCACCTGTGGAGTGGGGCCCCAGTGTGTGGGTGGAGACATCCTAGTGGGAGGGCCTGCTGTGCTCCTCCCACGTGCAGAGATCCACGTCCTCCACCTAGACCCCAGCTGCTCTCTGCACACCTGTGCTCCAGCGTTCGGCAGGCATTGACAGCCCTGCAGGTTCAGGCTGTTGCACACATTCCCTGCCTTCCCCCGGGGCCCTGCCTCCCTCTCCAAGTGGCGAATGGCAGCTTCGTTCACTCGGGCGCCTTTGTCCAGCTTCAGGCATCCCTGTATTCTTCCCTGCACACACTTTCTTCACAGTATCCATGTGGTCTGGCTGCTTCTCCCTGCCACTCACAGCAGCCTGATCACGCCTCAGTCATCCCTACTTGGTCCAGGTCCTGCTGAACCATTTGCCCGCACGCCACCACTGTGATTCCTCCTACCGGCGGATCTCCTTTCCTCCTTCACCTGCTACAAGTGCCTCAGGGCGAAAGCTTGTGAGGCTGCCCGCAGCCTGATGCTTGCCCCACTGCCTCCTTTCCTCAGGACGTCCTTTCTTCCATGCTTTGTTGTCCTTGCCTCTAAAATGCTGTTGCTTCCCAGGGCCCTTGCTCCCCTCTGAGCTGTGGGGACCCTGGCCCTGCACAAGAGCCAGCGTGCAGCTCACTCAGGAGTCAGGAAGTAGGCTGGGCCCAAGCCCTTACCCTCAGGGTTTTTCTTTTCATAGCCCGAGCTACGCTGGAAATCCTCATCCCTGACTTTGTTAAACAGACATCTGAGGAGAAGCCCAAAGACAGTGAAGAGCTCGAGGTGAGTGTGTGACACTGCCCTGTTAGTGCGGGCTGCACAGGGATTTAATCACCCCAGCCCCAGGGGACTCTGTTAACTATAGGGGAGGAACAACATTCCTCTACCCTCTGGGTCCTTCTGGCTGGGCTGCAAATTAAATTGACACAAGACAGAATAACAGGAGGAAATCAAACAAGTTTAATAATTTGAGAAATTCAACATTTTGTGAGAAACTCACCAAAATGTGAGAACATGGGAGAAACTCAAGAAACTGTATAACTTGCCAAAATGGCCGAGGTGCCAACTTAAATGTCATCTTCAGCTAAAGACAAAGGAGAATGTTGGGGGTAAAGTGGTTTGGGACTTCTACGGGGAGGAAGGCAACACTTATGGAAAGGGAAATGTAAATGGGCCAAATTACGGACAGTGTGACCTGAGAGACACGTTTTATGTGACATTACAATTCTCTTATGGTATTAGCTCCTTCCTGGAACAGGCCCTTATATTTTGAATTCTTTTAGGCACTTACAAGGGAAGTCAAAGTTTCTTTCAGAGTCTTCTGTTCTTAAAAATAGTCAAGCCAAAGAGAGACTTTGGAGTGGCCAATTCTGATCCCCCACAATATTTCATAAAAGAAACTTCTTGTTTTTGTGCGAGCAGGGGAAAAAATGTCATTTTTGTCAGAGATTTTTGTCTCCTCCGTCTTTCAGTGGGAGGTAAGAAGTTGTGGGTGCAAATAAATGTATTTGGAAGTAAATCAGCTCTCCCCTTACAGTAGATCCACGGTGGGAATGAATCTTTGAGGCAGAATCTACAAAAGTTAGGTTGTTCTAGGGGCTGGCCCGGTGGCATAGTGGTTAAGTTCATGCGCTCCGCTTTGGTGGCCTAGGATTCACAGGTTCGGATCCTGGGTGCAGACCTACACACTGCTCATGAAGCCACGCTGTGGCAGTGTCCCACACAAAATAGAGGAAGATTGGCACAGATGTTAGCTCAGCGACAATCTTCCTTAAGCAAAAAGAGGAAGATTGGCAACAGATGTTAGCACTGAGCCAATCTTCCTCAAAAGGAAAAAAGAAGTTAGATTGTTATTTATATTAAGAACCATTTAAAGTATTTCTAAACCTTTTTGGGTAAATATGATTCCAGTGTTATTTGTAGCAAGGGCTTCTCAAACTTTGACTCCATTCTTTCTTTATAGCAGCTTAATTGTTATATAATTTACATACCATGAATTTTGTCCTTTTAAATTGTACAGTTCGGTGGATTTTTGTATATTCAGAGGAACAACCATCACAACAATCTAATCTTGGGATATTTTCATCACTCCAAAAAGAAACCTTCTACCTGTTAGCAGTCACTCCCAATTCTCCTGGTTGCCCAGCCCCTCACCCCTGGCAACCACTAATCTACTTTCTGTTTCTATGGATTTGCCAGTTTTGGATATTTCATGTCAATGAAATTGTACAACGTGTGGTCCTTTGTGGCTTCTTTCAGTTAGCATGCTGTATTAGCTGTGGGTTTTATCAGATTGAGAAAGTTTCCTCCTCCTCCTGGTTTGCTGAGTTTTTGTCAGGAATGGATGTTGGATTTTGCTCGTTTTCCAGTTCTCCTGCATTTCCTTTGTTTCTTGTCCCGTGTGTTTTGGACTAGCAATTCACTTAGGTAGTTTTCTATGCTGGTCTTCTTAGTTTTCTCCTTATTTATCATTTGTGTCTCTGTTCTGATAATTTGTTTAGTGGTTACCATGTGGTTTGTATAAAAAAATGTCATGGATAGTCTATTTTCTGATGGCCTCTTATTTCCTTAGACTAAGCTGGTTCCATCCCTTTCCTCTTCCCCTTTTAAGTTGTTATGGCTACATCTTATTTCACCTTGTGAGTTTGTGGTTAAAATGACAAGATTATATTTATTCTTGGTGTTTCCCTGCCCTTCATCTTTAATGTTATGCTTAAGCATTTGCTAACCTGTTCTGATGGAGAGTGGCAATTTTCTGATTTTGTCTTTCTACTTATCTCCTTGCTCGGGGTTTTGTAACCCCTTTCCTTTTTTTTTCAGGTATGAGGGCCTTCCTGAGGATTTCTTGTGGTAGGGGTCTTGTGGCAATGAACTCCCTTAACCTTTGTCTATCTGGGAAAGTTTTTATTTCTCCATCATATTTGAAGGAGATTTTCCCTGGATAGAATATTGTTGGCTGAAAGATTTTGTCTTTCAGAATTTTGACTGCATCATTCCGTTCTCTCCTAGCCTGTAAGGTTTCTGCTGGCAGCCTGATAGGGGTTCCTTTGTAGGTTATTTTCTTCTGCCTTGCTGCCCTTAATATTTTCTGTTTGTTGTTGACTTTTGCCAGCTTTACTACTATATGCCTTGGAGTTGGTCTTTTTACATTGATGAAGTGTGGAGATCTCTTGGCTTCTGCCTCATGGATTTCCAACTCCCTCCCTGGATTTGGGAAGTTCTCAGCTATTATTTCTTTGAACAGGCTTTCTGCTGCATTCTCTTCTCCCTCTGGGATACCTATAATCCTTATGTTGCATTTCCTAATTGAGTCGGATATTTCTCGGAGAGTTTCTTCATTTCTTTTTAGTCTTGATTCTCTCTCCTCCTCTATCTGAAGCACTTCTATATTCCTGTCCTCCAGACTGCTAATTCTGTCCTCCATAATATCAGTCCTACTGTTCAGGGAGTCCAAATTTTTCTTTATCTCATCCATTGTGTTTCTCATTTGGAAGTAAATCAGCTCTCCCCTTACAGTAGATCCACGGTGGGAATGAATCTTTGAGGCAGAATCTACAAAAGTTAGGTTGTTCTAGGGGCTGGCCCAGTGGCATTTCTAACGTTTCTGATCGGTGGTTCTTTATAGTTTCAAGCTCTTTTGTGACGTAGCTTCTGAACTCATTGAGTTGTCTTTCTTCATTCTCTTTTAACTCGTTGAGTTTTTTAATGATACCTATTTTGAATTCTTTGTCATTTAGGTTATTGATTTCTGTGTCTTCAGGATTGTTTTCTGGGTACTTGTCATTTTCCTTCTGTTCTGGAGACTTAATATATTTTTTCATACTGCTTGACGGCTGGATTTGTTTCTCTGCATGGAGATAAGAGTTTGGTTACTGCTTCCACTTGCTACTGGGAGGAAGGGGCAGGAGCTGTGTAATCTGTGCCCACTAGGATCCCTGTCAGCTGTTCCTGACTGGGCCTGGGACACTCCTTGGGATTGCAGTGGCCCTGTGAGGTCCCCCACCAACTGTGGGAACAATCAGGGGCTCTGAGTTGCTGCCACCTGCCCCCACAGCCCTGCCTTGATGTGCTCCCCCCTCAGGGACTGCAGTGGTGTTCTGGGCTTTTGAGGCAACTGGGAGCTTGTTCGCCCAGACTTGCAGCTCTGCTCGCATCTGGTCCTAGGTTGCACCAGCCTTTGAGCTTGATGGGCAGGGTGTCCCCACTGGTATGGAGGCTGAGTCGCTCTCTGGGGCCATGGAGGGACCATGGACTTTCCCACTGGACCTAGGAGCGACCACACTGGGGCTCAGGGTTGTCACTGCCCACTCCCACTGTCCCGCTGGGTCTCACTTGCCCCTTCTGAGCTGCAGCAGAGCTATGGGCGTTTCAGGCAGCTGGGGGTTTGTTTTCCCGGACTTGCAGCTGCGCCGTGTCTGCTCCTAGGTTGCACTGGCCTTTTGTGCTTGGTGGGCAGGGCCTCCCTACTGGATCTGAGCCTCCCTGGGGCTGCGGTGGGACTGTGGGTTTTCCTGCTGGTCCAGAGAGCAATCACAGGGGGCTCAGGGGTGCTGTCACCTGTTTCCACAGTCGCACCGAGGCGCACGCCCTCTCAGGGCTGCGGTGGTGCTATGAGTGCTTCAGCTGGGAGAGCAGTCGCTTGTGGGTACTGGGCTTTCTGGGGGCCACAAAGTTCTCACCCATCTCCCTCTCCCCTGGGGCAGTCCATTCACCAATGTATAGCAGCGTGGGTCTCTTCAGCATCCTGAGGTGCTGTGTAAGTATCCTCCATTGATCAGTGCATGTTCATTTAGTTGTAGTTCGAAGGGAGAGACAAAGGGAACTGCTCACTCTGCCATGTTGCTGACGTCACTTGTGATCTGGATGTTGGATTTTGTCAAATGTTTTTCCTACCTCTGTTGAGATGATTGTATGAGTTTTGTCTTTTATTTTACTAATATGGTGGTGTAATATATTGATTTTTGAATGTTAAACCAACCTTGACTTCCTGGATAATCCCACTTGGTCATGGTATATAATTGTTTTTATGTGTTGCTGGATTTCATTTGCTAGTATTTTGTTAAGGACTTTTGTAGCTATATATTTGTAAGGGATACTGGTCTGTAGTTTTCTTTTCTTGTGATATCTTTGTCTGATGTTGGTATTGGGATGATACTGGCTTCATAGAATGAGTTAGAAAGTGTTCCTTCCTCTTCCATTGTGTGGGATAGTTTGTGAAAGATTAGTATTAATTTATTAAATACTTGATAGAATTCACCACTGGAACCATCTGGACTTAGACTTTTCTTTATTTGAAGTTATTTAATTACTAATTCTTTTTACTTGTTATACATCTACAGCCATGCATTGCTTAAGGACCAGGATACATCCTGAGAAACATGCCCTTAGGCTATTTCGTTGTTGTCCAAATATCGCAGTGTGCACTTACACAGACCTTGATGGTATAGCTGACTATACATCTCAGTTGTATGGTACTAATTGTATGTGATCCCTGTTGTATATGTGGTCTGTTGTTGACTGAAACCTTGCTGTGTGGCACGTGACTATATTCAGATCTCCTGTTCCTTCTTGAGCCAGTTTTGGGACTTTTTGTCTCACTGGGGATTTTTCCATTTGATCTAGGTCATCTGATTCATTAGCATTCATTTGTTCATAGTACTCCCTTATCCTTTTTATTTTGGTAAGGTTGCTGTGTCCCTGCTTTCATTCCTGATTTTAGTAGTTTGAATCTCTCTTTTCTCTTGGTCAGTCTAAAGTTTTGTCAATGTTGATCTTTTCAAAGA